TTTTAGTTTTTCCACAACTATTGGTAGTACATGGACTGGCACTTTTCATGCTTGAAAATATAAGGAGGGAGACATTTTCTTTCAGTCTTAAATTTGCTTCATAGTTTTTTAACATTCCAGTATCTTCTGCCTTGACTTTGTTTATTAACTTTGTCGAATTTATGTTCAATACATCATTAGTTATTAGACCATGATTCTTTTCACAGTTCGCCACAATAATGGGTAATATGTCAAACTTATTTTTTAGTTCCATGTAGGCTTCAAAATAGCCTAATGTTTTTATCACAGATCCATTGAACAAGAGTTTTCTTTAATATTGGTTTTCCTAATTTCTTCCAGAAATTTCTGGGTATCAACAACATGTCACTTCCCATAGTTGCATGTCCAATAAAACATTATTTGTCTATATTTCTGAGATGAGGTATTATGTACATTATTTACATTATTCGGACTATTGTCCTCATCTTTGTTGCCATATTTATTACAACGTTTTGGCCGTTTGGTAAAAACATGCAATGATAACAGCAAAAATTGCAATATGAGCACTGGTAAAAAATGGTTGCTGAAGACATTAGGTTTATAATACCCAGAAATTCATACACAGATGTCCTCAAGGCACAGTGGATAAAGGCGTTAGTTAGATCCAGTGACAGGACCCAAAGAGTGCAAGTTCAATACCCGGTTAAGGCAGTGGAGAACTTTCAGAGGGAAATTAACAGGAGATAACTGATAACTGACATGAAGAAGGCCGGAGCATACAACGGCTGAAACATTGTAATAAATATGGTGACAAAGATGAGGACAATAGTCTGAATAATGTAAATAATGTAAAACATTATTTATTCGAATTTTTTTTTTCCAATGAAAATACTTATTTCCTCTCTACATTTCTCTTTTGGGATTTACACGTATGTTTAAAATGATTCATTTTGAAATGCTTTTCGCATCTTTTTCTATATGGCAGACATTTTTGTTTTTCTCTTTGTTGTTGATAACCACAAAAAAAGTACACATTATTCTGTCTTTTTTCTTTATCACCTATATGTCCATTCCTCTACCAGATCTGTAACTTTTGTTGTATTAAATTTTCGAATCAATTCTTGTTACTGAACAAATTTGGTACACTGTTCTAGAGACAACTTCCCCAGTTGTAAATGCATTAGTATCATTTGCCGATACTTCTCATTTTGAAGGCTCTTTATAAATTTCATTTGGATCTAATCCTCTTCAATTGACTGCTCTTCTGCTCACAGTTTCTCAAATTCACAATATTTAGCAGCCTGTTTCAAACAAAGAACATATTCAATAACTGGTTCATTCACTTTTTGAGAATTGTTCATGAACTTAACTCTCTCTGCATTCACTAGTTTTTTTTTCTTGGGGGCTATGTTTTTCACTATTAGTTCACTTGTATCGTCAAACATCATTTCCTGTCTTGGTTGTGCAATTGTTGATGATTTTATAATAGTCACACAACCAGCAGTTACCAAAAAGAGATCAGTTATCTGGTTTTCTCCTCCAACTGATTTTAAATTTTTCAGCTTTTTTGTTCTAGCTTTAGCTGCTAGAATCCTAAGCCACACTTGTACGTACTCATAATTAACAAATGATAACTGTTCGTTCATAGTGTAGTGTTACTGACTCACAGGAAGTAGTATGCATTCACTGTCTCATGGGTAATAGCATTAGCTACTTATCGTCTTTTTGACTTCATATGTAAATGAGTCATCTTACACCCCATTTCTATTTATTAAACAGTGTGTATTATCTCTATTGGTCAGCAATTTTGAGAATTCTTGGCAAAAGAAAATATGTCTTCCAACAGGTGTTAAAATATGCAAGCCCTCGAAGGGGGAAAACTACTGTTTGATCCATGATGCTTTACTGCTTTTAGTTATGGAGAACTTCACAGTAAGCAAGGTTCTATCTTCCCTTTTTTTTAAGGAAATGCTCATTCTCTTCACTCAGATTATATTTCTTGAGAGTTCATATCCAAAATGTAAACAAAGCAATTTTTAAAGAATTAATGGATTTATTTTTAATCCAACATTTTTATTACTTCAGAGAATATTATAGTGGACACTGCATATTTATAATAAACCCATCCACTATAATGATGTTTTTAGTAATAAGTATATGTGTATATATATATATATATATATATATATATATATATATATATATATATATATATATATATATATAAACTAAAACTGTACCAATAATACCCTGAAGATCCGTTATGTGAAACCTTGGTAGGTAGGTTCTGGCTCACTATGTTTTTTAGATTTTGCTCTACTTAGTGTATTGAGCACTTTTATGCTTTTACTTAATTTACTCTGTGTTTTTTCTTTTGACTAGACATTGCGGTGCTGATTGATTATTTTCAACCAACACGGACGTTTTTAGTCTTTTCTTTTTTTACTGAATTTTTTTTTCCCTGATATCAGTTTGTTCAAATATATTTTTATTTACAAATTGTTTTATCTGTTTTTTTTTTTACACCACCCAATATAGGTATTAAAATAATACATAATAATATAATATGTATATATATATATAGTGGATCTGTATGTATACCATGCTATCAAAAAGTTTAATAAATTTGAAATTTGGACATTACATATGAACAACAACATACAAATGTTTGCCACTATACATTCTGAATCATATGATAACATTTAATTTCAATCATTTTTTAAAAAAATACTAATGTGAAGGAGATTGTTGAATCTGGCTTATTTCTTAAGTCATTTTTCTCCATAATCCAAGTTCCTTGATCATTTTGGTTGGTAGCACTATCTCTGTATGTTTATGTAAATGTGTGTATTTGTGTTTATGTGCATATGTGTGTATATTAATATACATGTGTATGTATGTTCGTTGAACTGTTTCATTCTGGTTTGTGATGTCAACAAACACTTGTTGCTACTTTTGTAATGTCAACAAATACTCATTGTCACTTTCGTAATGCTCATTGTAGTAGAGACTTTGTGATCGCAGATACAACTATAGTACACTGTAGAGCAATCCTTTATCAGACGCCTTCAAATATCACTCACTAATATTACTTGCTCAATAATACTCACTCAAAAAGTAACCATTGTATAGTGATCCGAATAGAAGAATAGTATAGAGAATAGCGATCCATATAGTAATAGAGGATAGTGTAGAAATAGTGATCAATTAGACGTCATGCTAATTCCCATATATACATTTTCATTTACCATCATGTGATTTACTCATTTAAAATGGAATCGCCTGTGTTTGCTCACTGGTGATCTATGTTCAAACTACAGTGTCAGCAGTGACACTTTATTCCTATATAACATTATGATATCTGAAAATCTAGTTTATTATGAAACTGACAGTAATGCCAAAGACCAGGATTTTAAAGATGACTTTTAAAAACACTATATCAAATTTTGTAGTGGCTCTATCTCTAATATTGAGCACTATTAAAATATGTTAAATTGTATCTCATTTAGATTGCAATTATTATATATATATATATATATATATATATATATATATATATATCCTTACTTTGTCCTGGACATTGAGTTCTACCGGGATTCTATCCTCTTGGAATTTTTATTAAAAAAATAAACATGTATGGGTTTTATATATTTTGCATATGTATGTATATTTATTTCACTAATATTATATATATATATATATATATATATATATATATATATATATATATATATATATGTACATATCCTTTTCAAGGTCTGTCTAGAAATTTTATTGTGAAATTTTATGCGTATATTTATTGATCCACATTATTATCGTTTAAAATATTCTGTTAAATAAAATAGATTGTGCCAATTATATTTTTAAATGATTTTTCTCTTATTGACAGATTAATTTCTGTATGTGACGATAAAAATTATGAAAGAATTGTCTATAGTTTATGTCTGTTTATTAAGTATTTTGAAATTTTGAATGACTTCAGTCATTAACAAATTTCAATTGTAACATTGAGAAATTAATCTGTCAATCAGAGAGAAATATTTTAAATCAAGTTCAGTTTGTCTATTTTATTTAAGAAAATATGTTTAAACAAAGATTTGTTGCCCAAATACTCCCAATTATATTTATATATTTAACTTAGTTTGACACAAGGTCACAAGTATGGAGCACAAAGTGAGCATCAAATTCACTACTCAATATTAACAATTCTTGAGAACAGCTTGTTCACCACTAACCCAACACATGGTGTGTCCATGAATATGATTATATAATTAGTTGTTATGAACAACTGGTAACTTGTTATATAGAATAGACAAAATTCATTAAATAAATATGTCAAGGTTGTGTTTTGTTTTTGTTTTTTTTTTTTCATTTATTTAAATGTTTATATATTTTTGCTAAAAGTTTCTTCTATTGCACTTCTCACTTGTGGAACTCTCTTCCGGCTTCTTACTTCCCACTCAACTTTGATCTTCAAAAAGTTTTTATGATCTTATGTGTAGGAAGAGGTAATTTTATTTTTTGTTTTGTGTTAGATGTGTTTTTAGTAAATTTAGACATTTCTTTACTGCATGTAAAGATTTTAGATCTAAACTAGCCATGGATTTGTCTTTTTATGTCTATGTTTTCTAACTTATTAATAAGATCTCCAGAGTTATTTTTATATGTGAGGAGATAATTGTGCAAAGTAGTGGGGTTAAAATTTTGGCTAGTGTGCCGGTTGGTTAATTTCAAGCAATCTCACTTGTTCATTCTGGCTATGGTGTTCTCTATGGTTAACAAGACCTGATCTGGAGAAAAGAACTGAACTACACACAGGACAGATGTGTCAGAATAGCTTCTCGTTTTTTTCTGGTATCCCTTCTAATATTTTGGTGATATATTAATTACTTAATCCAGCATTTTATTCAACAATCTACTTTCGGGATAATTTGATTTTGATAAATTACTTCTTTTTCAATTTTTTTTTTATTTTAATTTTTTCAACTAATGTGTTTTCTTTACTTTTTTTTTTCTTTCAGATTCAAGGCAAATCACAAAAGTCTGGTTCTCCTGGATCATCGATTTCTGGTAAAAATATAAGCCCAGTCTCCAGTGTTTTGGGTACATCTGTTCATTCTATGAATGGCACTAACAATTCTTTTACATCAGTCACGCCTACATCCTTTGACCATTCAAGCATGTACAATCAAAGTAGTCGGACATTTCCTCACCCCAAACCTGTGCTCATCAGTTTTGAAGTAAGTAAAACTCAAATCCTGTGTTTATTAAGTTTAACTTTTAAATTTACTTTCTAAAAAAAAAAAAAAATGAAAAAAATGCAATAGTTACATTAATCTATTACATGGATCCTTGCAAAACTCTTGTCAATGAGTTGCTTTTTGATGAAGCAATTTGGTTGAAACCTAATAGAGATATTGCTTAAAGTATCTCTGTTGCATCATCAGAGCCATGTATGGTTTTGAATTCAGAGTTGTCTTCTCTTAGAATGATTGCTAACCACAGCTCAAGGGCTCTTTTAGAATGCTCAATTTTTCTAAAACGTAAAGATTACATTTTTCTCCCTAACCATTGTAAGTTTTAGTCCTTGCCACTGAATTTCCACCAAAGTATTTGGTTGGGTACCTTCACTATCTTTTATTTGCCAGTAATATTTTGAGAGAGCTGTATTAGTTCTGTATTTTTGTTGCTCATGTATGTATGTTTATATGTATATATGTTTAGGTATTTTAATGTGTAATTTTGTATGTATGTATTTATATTTGTATGTATGATGACATATATATATATATAATATTGCTCATAGAGTGCTGGTGCTAATAAAATATTTAAATTATGCAACGGTCAGTTGTCGATCAGCACCTGATGATTGTGGTGTGCATGAAATTCAGAGTTGTGCTGTGAGTGAGGGGAAAAATATCTGCATTGATATATATATATATATATATATATATATTTTACTTGGGTTTATGTAAGCATATATGTATATGTAATGTGTGTGTGTACTGTATACCTTGTGTATAAGCTAACTTCATGTATAGTGCAACCCCTGACATTTTTTGCACGAATTTTGAACTCCTCCAGAAGAAAATTACCTGCATATTACCTGGAAATGCATGATTTTTTAACCTTTAAAAAAAAAAAAAAAAAAAAAAAAAAAGACTAGTGTATAGTGCACCCCCCCCCACTTATTTTTTTGTGCAAAAAAAAAAAAAAAAAAAATTATAAAAATCTCTCACTATACCTGAGTATATATAGTTGTGTGTGTATATAGCGGAGTATATAAGAATTGCTCTTAAGTTTGTTTTGTTTTTTTTTTTTTTTATATATATATGTATATGACTTTGTGTGTGTGTATATATATATATATATATATATATATATATATAATACCTTCCCTACCTTAATTTTTTTATTATATTTCATGAATAGATATAAATGTATGAATACATGATTATGTGAGTGTGTTGAATTTATTTGCATGTAAATATATATATATAATATAATATATATATATATATAATTTGTAATATATATTTGTATATGAATGTATGTATGTGTGGATGTATATATTTAATATATTTGGATATGTGAGTTATATTTGTGTGAATATGTGTAATATATTGAAAAAATATAAAACTGATGTGTATAAATTGTTTTTTCTAAATATATTTCTGGGATATATTGAAAATTATGTGTATAAATATATTTAAGTGACATGTGAGGCAGGCAGCTGCTCAAGGAGGTAGTAGTGTGACTGATATAGCTAAATGATTTATGACAAGAAACAGTCTTGTACTGGGCAGTTACTAACGATGACCAGTATAGGGTATCAATTTAACTACCCAGTATGAGACTGTGTTTCTTGTTATAAATCAGTTCAAACTCCTCATGTTACTTATCTGATAAAAGTGCCATAAAAAGGCATTTAGCCATCCTCAATCTACAAGAACTTATAAGGAAAATTTTGGTTGATAACATAGCCATCCACCATAAATCCCATAACTGAAAACATCTTGCTGTGAGAGAAGCACTCTACAATAAACATCTGGCATCCAGTATTAATTTTACATTATTTAACAACAGAAACAATGTAGTATTTTAAAACAGAAGGATACCAACTTAATTTCCAACCATTTTCCTTTTTCATAATAATCCTTTCTAGTTCTCTAATCAGCTTTTTGATGTTAAGTTGGAATTCATCAAAGAAGACTCCATAATTTTTTCTTAACCAAATACCTTCAATCTGGTTAGAGCACTAGAAAGGACTTTTTTTACCCATATCTGGGACCCTAACATGTGCTACCACCCTGGCTCAATGGTGGACCTGGGAACAACAGCAATTAAAGGTTGTGGAGAAGGCAACATTGCACTATCTTTCTCAAGAATTCATGGCAATTCACAGATATTAAAGAAGTTGTGGAGAGCCATGCTTATCTATGCCCTGAAAAGACATAGCATTAAAAAGAAAAAAAATAAAGGGCATAAATTAAAGTATTCCTCATACCTGAATATTCCAAATCAAATGCAGTACCCATTTATTGTACTGAAAGACATAGAGTCAATGACCCTATAGGCCTTTTAGTTCAAACTCTAAAATTTGTGTCAATGGCTTCATGGTCAGGGTGCGATGGATAAATTATGCAAAAATGAAAATAACACTGACATCTCATTTTAACAGATATATTTATCAAAATTACACAGAAATATCTTTAAATACTTAAGAGTAAATTTATTCAATAAAATTACCATTGTCTTCAACCATGGTCTGCAGAAGTCTTCAGAATCTTCTGCAACTTTTCTGGACAGTCTCCTTGTATAAGTTGGTGAATGATGCCATAATCCTTGCCTTGAGTTCATCTTTGGTATTTACAAGGAAGTTTTGTTGGTCTCTCACTCAACTGTGCCCCAAACATAATAATAATTAAGGGAGTTGCATTCTGGGGAACTAGTTGGCCAGATGTAAGGGGTGATGTGGTCGCAGAAATTGTCTGACAGTCATTACTACATTCTCCTGCTTGTGTGGCATAGTGCAGAGTCCTGTTGCCAAACATAGGGTCTTCCATCAGCCACCCTCTTGACTCAGGGCAACACTACCTCCTCAAAGCACTTGATGTAGGCCTCTGTGTAGAGTCTGAGGATCTGTGGGATGATGAATGGAGGCATAATGTCACCATCACTTGTTGACTGGATATATCATCCAGCTCTTTCTGAATCCTCTGCACTGTCCTCAGATTGACACCCAAACATTCTGAAATGTTCATATTAGAACTTCTGGTACAAATGCCAAGCAGTTCAACATGCCGTTTCCAAATTTCTGGCAGGATGAATTGTGTCATGGTGCTTTTTTTCTCACAGATGGTACTCAACTAACCCTACTATACTGTGCAGTCAGCAAAATCAAAAACAAACAACGCACATGTGCAAAATTAAAAATAGAAATAGTAACAATTTACCCATCGAAAACTGTATATGGGACTTGGTACACTGGATGGTTATAGAATAGATTAGCAGAAATGGGACAGTAATAAGTACAATAAAATCATGTTCAATCTTCTAAACAACTCTTGGCATAATAATGACTCTTCTCAAAGTTACAGGAGTAAATATCATGTTGTGCTGGACATGATAGCAGGTTACGTTTTATACAACTTTTGTTAGGAATAAAAATATCAAAATATAAATATTCACAAATTTATTTTCCCAAATTTTGTGGAGTTCTTAATCAATCAATCTTTGAACACGTGATGCAACTAAAACGATCATTTTTTAATCTTAATCTGATGATCAAATATTTCCTCTGTTCATCCTGATTAAAAGAATGCCATAATCTACTATTAAGCATTAGAAAACAGGTCAAGTGGGATTTGTACAGTATAAGGCTTTGCTGAATGAAGCATAGCTTAAGGGAAACAATTATTATTCAAGTCTCTTGGGAAATATTAAAGAATATTCTTCTATTCTTTTAGAAAATAGGTGATTATTACAAAGGATCAATATATTAATATGACTACAGATATTTTTTCATAAATTTAATAATAAGGTTTGCATAGGTAGAGATTAGGATCTGTGAAATAGAGAAGGCACATTTAAAATGGTGATAGGAAAGCATATCTGAAACAATGGGGATGGGGAAAAAAGGCATTTGAATCAGGGGAAAAAAAAAGGAGAGAAAACGAATCTTAAATTATATTTGTCCGTGTCTGGATGGTTATAGATAGCTGGACATAGTTGCTAGGGTTTTGCGGATTAAAGTAGACATCAGCCTTAAATAAGCGGTCTTTTTTTATTTTGAGCATTCTTGTCACATTGTGTAAGTGGTTATTATGCTCTGGGCGTTGTTTTGGATGGTTTAAAACTTCAGTTTTGTTTTGAGAGTTTTTGTGTGTGTGTGTGTGTGTGTGTGTGTGTGTGTGTGTGTGTGTGTGTGTGTGTGTGAAAGGTGGGTGTTAGAGTTCATTCAAGACCAACATAATTAAGTGTGATGCTCTCTTAGACTTGTCATTATCTGTGTATGTATATGTGTGTATGTGTGTAATTGATCTGTGACAGATTTGATAATTCTTGCAATGGTTTTTAAATTTCTCATTTCAACCTGAACTGTTGCTTCGATTTATAATTTAAAAGAAAAGAATTGATTTCAAAAATATTTTACCCATAGTAAAACTGATTGATAAAATACTTTCTAGATCCAGCAAAACCTCAATTTTAATTTGAATATAAATTTAGTCAGTGTATTAAAAAATATACAATACATTTAACCCATTAATGTTTACCATGAAATCTGGTATTAATTATAGAGGTTTCTACTTACAACCTATTAATGCCAACCACCCCAAAAATGAGACAGTGGTCATTAATGGGTTAAACATTTATGATATTGAATAATAAGTAGCACTAATTGGCCAGAGTTCAAATTCCAATCAAATCCATTACATTCATTTACATGCTAATACCCTTGGGAAAGGTATGAATACTCTTCTTCCCAAGCGATGGGTAAATAGCAGGACAGACCAGGTTCTATAGCCTTGGATGGTAACTGGTCTACTGCAGAAAAAAATGGCAACCTACTGCACAAAAAAATCTGCCTTGTCAGTCATGTATCAAAAGATACATGATCGCCTAAGCGTGTATCACACATGGCACATAACTGACTGAATTGTCCAGATCTAAATTCTCAAACAAATGTAAGTTTTGTGTTGGTATTAATAAGGATAATTGTAAAATTAGATGCAATAAAAAAAAATCATCTGGTTGTATATAGGGCATATGGGTGACAAAGATGTTTATTCAATTTGATGATAAATAATCAGGAATCTTTGTAACGCTGACCAAACTGAATGAAAAAGGGAATTCATAAATGTTTCCTTATTTTCATTGGTCTTAGAAATACAAGGGCCCAACATAGTGCCTTAGTGATTTCAGTCACAAGATAATTTGATTTTATTGAATAGTAGAAATTTAGTGAAGGAGTATAAAGAAATGGGCTCTTCTCCATGTATAGTCAACTGGATAGATATACAAATGCCACTTTATAAAATAGGAGGCATTACTTTAAATGTTGGCCTATGGTGTCAGATGTAGATATTTGTAGGATAGTATTAGAGGTTGAATCTTCCTGCCAATAATCTGTGATTTATTATTTTTCTTTGTCTTGTTACAGATAGCAGTCTGATATAAAAGTGTGCATGAAACAGATTTATTGTGGGATTCTTCCATGCCAAAAAAATTGCATCTATTGATATTCATTGACACTTGCTGAACATTAACAGAGACTAAACAGAGGTTATGAGCACAGTTAGGTGGCGGTTAATGTGTTTTAGCAGTGGTGACAATGTGTGTGACAAGTCACATTTCAGGTAACTCTGACATGAAAAAGAAGAGTAACTGAAAAATGTGGAAGAATACTTTTGTAGCTGAAAACTTACTCCAGTCAATGGTATTATTATACGCCTTGCCTTTCTGGCTTCCATGGAAATAAACGTGAAGCATTATTTTTGGGACATACCCTTACCTATATGTATTGAGGGCATCAGTAATATCTCTATTCAGCTAGCTCTCTATCTGAACAATCATATTGTTTATCAATGTCTGTTAATATCATTAAAAAATTTACAATGGGAAAAGAATTTTTGTATGAAAAAGTACATTTAAAAATAAATAACAGAATGAGGCTTAGAGGAAGATAACTGAAGATTCAAAATCAGAACATTATCATTGATAACTCTCTCCTCCAATTTGCAGAGCGTAGTTACTATATTCTTAATATAATGCAAAAATATCACAATGATAAAATTGGTCAATAATTAATTATAACTATTTATACTGGGATTCATGCATGCAATTACAAGTAATCAATAATAATATTTTAAATTTTGAAATCATATTTATTTTTGGCATAGGAAGTTTTTTAAACTGTTTCTAAATCTTTGATTGTCTTTCAATCATTCCACCTTGCCTGCTATCCTCTTCCACTACACCTTGGGAACCACTGACCTAGATGGATAACTGCTTTGGAATACTAGGTGATGTTAGCTTGGATGTGCATGTGGTGTAGTGGATAAGGTCTTGGAATTGTTATTCGGAAAGACAAGTTCCAATTCCTGTTGGGTTTGTTATATTCACATATTTACCATATTAAATTAGACGTTGAGGAAACAAACAGGAAAACAAAAAAGTTAAAATAAAAATTACTTTCCTAACAGAATAACTACTCTCCCAAGCTAATGTACACAACTGTATCAAGAAATCAAAAGAAAATGGTTGAATCCGTTAATACAGCACGTTTCAACCATTGCATGCTCCGGCCTTCTTCAGGTGGTTGGAATGTCGAACTGAACCCTTTATTTCACTCACTGAGGTAGTCTGTTCTAGTTCCACGTGCCATGTTTAATTGATGTCAGTTATCAGTTATCTCCTGTTAATTTCCCTCTCCAAGTTCTCGACTGCCTTAACCGGGTATTGAATTCACACTCTTTGGGTCCTGTCACTGGATCTAACCAATGCCTTTATCCACTGTGCTATGTGTCTTTGAGGAAACATTGTGATAAATATGGCAACAAAGATGAGGATAATAGTCCAAATAATGTAAATAGTGTACATAATACCTCATCTCAGAAATATAGACAGATACATAAAAATATAGTTTCATAGATTTGATTAAAATTCTAAAAATAGCTTTTTAGAACAATAAAAATTACCAAGGGAGTATGCAGTAACAGCAGTATCAAGAGAAAAACAGTCCTTTTTCAGACACTTTTTTTCTTTTTTCTTTTTTGTGGGTACAAATGTTAAACTTTGCTGAAATATCAAATACAAAATTCATTTCTTGGCAGAAAAATGTTTAAACATGAATATATTTGTTTTTGACATCCTTAATTTAGGATGTACAATGGAGAGCAAAAGTAACATCGAACACAAGACATGACTCAGTCAGGGCAGGGTTTTTTAAAAAATAATATTAGGGAACAATCACCCCCCCCACACACACACACACACAACAATTACCTCTCCTTTGGGAGGAAGCCTGGGTCATTACCTGAGGTATTCACAAAATTGCTGAGTGGGCTTGGGCAATTTTTGCATGACTACTAACTCACTTTAAATCCCTAGGACAAGCAGTGTGTACTTGAACTCAATGGAAACAATGAGCCATAAGTGAGCAGTAGTAAATAAAGAACTAAACAAGATATCCTTAGACATGGTCAGCAGAACAAGAACAATCTAGCCCCATAGATTAAATAAAGGGTTCAGTTCAAAATTCACTGGATCGATATGCACCTAATGAAGACTGGAGGGCACAACAGCCAAAACATGATAACAACAAAGATGAGGATAATAGTCCACATGTAAATAAGGTAAATAATCAATCCATAATAGGAATAACTGCAGAACACTTGCCTCTCCCCATTTATAGGCAGAAATTCACAAATGCATCCTGGGATATTTTTCTTGGCCAATAAAATAGGCCAGTTTGCAGTTTGACATGACTCAGTCTAGATCTGCCTTGTCTAGAAGATGGAACACCATGTTTGCTTGTCCAAACTTGTTTTTCTGTGTCAACACCATTTCTTAGTTTGTGAACTTATTTTCCTGCTCACTATTAATTTGTCTTACATATAGTGTTTGCTTGCTTGCTTGATATTATTTCATTTTTGCCTTGTTCCTTTTTCTTTTTATTGCAAACTTTGTTAATTCTGTTTGCTGGACCATTCTGTTCTTTATTTTGCATTTGACCATGGCTACTCACTCCACAATAATATTAACTCCTCATCCTAAAAATTCAAACAGACATTATTTTATTTTCTTGTTTGCTTCCCACCCTCCACCCTTGGCAGGAATTTGAAAAAAGTGGTGTGTTTGAAGCTCAAGTTCACTTAGAGCAGCGTCATAAAGAAGAGGAAGAGCGGCTTCAGCGGTTTCTATCTGAAGAAAGAGAGAAAGAAATGCGTAAACTTGACGAGAGTGTTTATATCGAAAAAGAACGTGCTGCTGCTGAGCTGTTGGCCAGCATTGACCAACTCTCTCTACATCAACCAGGAAGCAATATTTCCCAAGATTTGGCCAACGAGCGGCAAAGAATTGAGGAACATTTCCGACGATTGAGAGAAGACCGCCTTAAAATAGTCACTGACAAGATTGCTGGTGATGAGAAGATGAGGACTTCAAAAATGCTTGAAAGACAAAGCCAAGAAATGATGTTGCTGATCGCTGAGAAAGTGAGTTTGAATTTTATATGAATTTTTTATATTTTTTTTTTATTATTGAATTTTATATTTTATTTTATTTTTTTATATTTTATTTTATTTTTTTGTTGTAACCTAGAAAGGGTTACTGAATTAGGAATAACCAAAAAGGAGGTTGGAAATGAAATGATAATCTTTATAACCTCAACAAAGTACAATACTCACCAGCGGCGGGAAATAGGTAAACCACTGCTAGTGGTGGACTGCTTAGACAGTATATTACCCCCACTTATAATAGTGTCCAATGTATTTATGAGGATTGGGACATACCCATTAGTGTTCATAGATATGGTATATAACAGTTTTTTTTTTTTTTTGTTTTAGTTATTTTATACTTTATTTTAAAAAAAATATTTTTGCAAATTGATTTGTTTTTTTTCTGCTAAATATATCTAACAGTGGAATTTGTATATACAATCTATTGCTAAAGATGTTGCAAAAATGGTTGGTTACTTGTGCTGCTTCAGTAAGTACCAGACTCCTCCTGCTATGCTCTACCTTTACAAGAATCAGATCAGGATCCCAAAATGAAGTACTGTTGCCATATATAGGCTGCTGCTTACCAGTCTGTACTTTCCAGTTTTGATAGTTCAAAATCATCTTTGCAGATGATGAATTGTTTTCTACCTTAAAACTATTATCTTTCCTACGTCTTCGCATAAACTGCACCACCTTATATAGAGCAAACATTAGTTTAAAAAAAAATATATATATTCTGGTTGTGGATTCATACCTTTCCCAAAGGTATGAATCATTTTTCTAATAAGTAACAGGTAAAAGTCACTTGGTTCAATTTAACATTGTATGAACTTTGTTGAGTTATTTAATGTCAAATATCAGCCTTATAGAACAAAAATCATAATGAATTAACAGATATGGAGGCATAAACCTAGTTTACAGAGTGCGATGGATAAATTGTCATTTAGATTTTGTGAAAAAAGAAAATAAAACTGACATCTCATTTTAACAGATATATTTACCAAACTTACACAAAAATATCTTGAAATACTAAAGAGTAAATTTATTCAATAAAATCACCATTGGCTTCAACCATGACCTCCAGATGATTTTGGAATATCCTGAAACTCTTCTGGACTGTCTCCTTGTTTAAGTTGGTGAATGCTGCCATAATCCTTGCCATCAGTTCATCTTTGGTATTTACAAGGAAGTTTTGTTGGTCTCTCACTCAACTGCACCCACACATAATAATCAAGGGGGTTGCAGTCTAGGGAGTTAGGTGGACAGATGTAAGGGGTGATATGGTAACAGAAATTGTCTGACAGCCATGACTGGGTTCTCCTGCTTGTGTGGCATGGTGCAGAGTCCTGTTGTCATACATAGGGTCTTCCATCAGCTACCCTCTTGACCCAGGGCAGCACTACCTCCTCAAAGCACTTGATGTAGGCCTCCGTGTTGGGTATGAGGACTTGTGGGAAGATGAATGGAGGCATAATGTAACCATCACTCCAAACACCTTCATAATCACTATTTGACTCTTCCAACTCTTTCCGAATCCTCTGCACTGTCCTCAGATTGACACTCACACTCTGAAATGTTCATATTGGAGCTTCTGGTGAATGTCAAGCAGTACAGCATGCCGGTTCTAAATTTCTGGTAGAGTGAATTGCACCATGGTACTCTTTTTCTCACAGACAGTGCCCAACTGACCCTACTATACTCTGCAGTCGAAAAAATTAAAAACAAACAATGCACATGCATGAAACTAAAAATATAAAATGGCGACAATTTACCGATCGCACTTTGCATACTTGAGTTAAAAAAAAATAGACATTTGCTCAGTTTATATCTGTCTGCCATTATCCACTCAGATGGTGGATTGTTGAGTGGGAGGGTTCTTACTCATCTACAGAGGACAAAATATAATATTTTAAACTCTGCCAACCAGGTAAGATGATTAACATATAGTGAAATGGGATAATAGTGGATAAACCACCCTCCCATAACTACCATCCATTCAGTAATAACTGTAAAAATATTTTTACATTCATTGTTAACTTTGACGATATACAGGATGTACAAATTTATAATATAAAGAAAAACATTTTCAGCAGGAAAAAAAAATCAATATATTTTTTTTTTTAAATTCGTATACTTGTTCACCTTATTTATTCAATTAAAACTGCCCTCAGTGTCAAGGACAAACTCAATACAGCCTTGAAAGCAACTATATGCCCGGATCAGGTTGTTCCCATTCATATTGACTTTCACATCTATAATAGTAGTTTTCAGTGAATGCTTGGTATTTTGGGGCCACTGGTTGATCTTCCTCCTTATGACTCCTCAGATTAGTGGATTCAAAACAAGAGGGTGAAGAGGTCAAATGTTGGAGGGACCATGTGGAATAGAGCAGAGACCTACTGGAACATATATGTCCTTCTCTGAGTCACCCTCTCAAACTAGGGCTTGACCATGGTGTCTAGCACCTATTTAGGTGGTAGTTTTGACCTGGATGGCATATGTAAAGTGGTGGGGATGACATGATATGGCCCTCATCATGGCTCATGTGAACTTAATGCACCATTAGAGGTAGTCATGGAGTCTGCACAGAGACACCTGTCATTGGTTTTTTATTTTTCATACTGAAGTTGTTTTTTTTTTTTCATACTAAAATAATTTTTTTTTTTTTTAGTGTTTTTATATTAAAGTTTCTTGTTTTGTTTTTTCATAGTAAAGTTTTTCATGCTAAATTTTTTTTTTTGTTTTTCATACTAAAATTATTTTTTTTTTTCTCATACTAAAGTTTGTTTTTTATACTAAAGTATTTTTGGTTATTTTTTTCATACTAAAATAAAAAAAGTTACTTTGTTTTTTATACTAAAGTTTTGTTTTGTTTTTTAATACTAAAGTTTTTTGTTTTTATGATAAAGTGTTTTTTGTTTTTATACTAAAGTTTGATCTTTTTTTCATACTAATGTTTTGTCTTTGTTTTTTCATACTAAAGTTTTTTAGTTTGTTTATTTTCATACTTAATTTTTTTTTTCATATTGAAGTTTTTTTTGTTTTGTTTTTGTATTAAAGTTTCTTTGGATTTTTTTTTTTTTTTTTTTGTCATATTAAAGCATTTTTGGTCAAAGGAGTCAGGTACTTTCTGTAGTGATATAATGAGCCAACAATTTTCCCAGTGTCTTTAGCAATAAATTACATGAAGTTCCATTTGAGGTTTGACAACTTGAAATACAAGAGTCATTCAAAGCATAGAGCTTAAATGTGAGTTCAGCTATTCATCATGACTTAAGAAAACTATTGACCTTTTGGTCCTGGTCAAAGTCCTACTATTGAGGGTGCTCAAACATGCTTACTAATAGTATTTGCTGCTCTAGAAGGTACTACTATTGTATTGCACAGTTCTCCCTGCTATTTAGATATGAATTGCATTTGCTTCATCATAAAAAAAAACAACTTGTGGCTGATGTCCTTATGTACTACAAATCTGATAGTGGATGCTGTCACATTAAACTGCTTGGTTACAACCCTGATTGACTTGCTAGGGTTGTAGTTGATGTTATTTTGAATCTACTGGATGAACTCCTCATGACATCTGTCCAATAAGAATTCTTTTTTCACTTGGTCATGGATGACATGTCTCCACCAGTGTCCTTCAGTTTATTTCTATGCATGAACACAATGGACCTGGTCACTTTCAAGAATTTGGCCAATTCCATGTCAGCAGCTAATGCCATGATTTCTTTGATAGATCAGAAGCTTTGCTACACCTGAAAGAGAAATGTGTATGTTAAGATTTTATGCATGCCACATATGCATTACATTAAGTCAACTTTCATTTATGAACCAGTAAAGATGTTTTCTCAAATATTTGGTTCATCCTATATTTTCAACCAAATTACTATCAAAATGTTAGATTTATTCTTGCAAATGTGACAAAATCATATTTGGTAGTCGAAAAACAAACCCATATTTTAGAATGGTATTTTATTGATTTATTTTAACCCCTTCTCGTTGCTTTTCATATGTCTGGATTAATAAACTGCTTTAAAGTTCAACAAATTTAAGTTATTAGTACAAATATTTAAATTTAAAATGTAATAAATGTACTTTTTTTTAGGACCGAGAATTGGATAACAGTGCCTTATTTGACCATTCCATGAGACCACCAATACTTCCACCGGAAATGAAAAAAGTTCAAATTTATCGCTCACCAACTGTGTTTAAACAACTTGATGAACGAGCAATTGAGGTATTGTAACTATTTAAACTATTTATGTTGTTCGGACTGTTGTCCTCATCTTTATTGCCATATTCACAACATTTTAGCCGTTGTACACTCCAGCCTTCCTCAGGTGATATTTGTTGGAATTTTAAACCAAACCCTTTATTTAGTCCATTGGAATAGATTGTTCTAATTCTACCTGCCATGTCTTTGGATATCTTAGTTTTAGTTAATTCCCCTTAACTCACCTCTCCAAGTTTTTGTTCCAACTGTTGTGACCAGGTATTGAACCTACAGCTCTTATGGTTAAGTCACTTTTGAATCAATCAACCAACCCTTTTATCCACTGGGCCATGTGCCCTTGGGGATTGTTGTATAAGAGTAAGTGTCATTGCTGACACTGTGGGTTTGAAACTAGATTGCCAGTGAGCAACACGGGCGATTCCATTATTAAGTAGATCACGTGATCATAAAGGAAGTGAATAAATAGGAAGTAGCGTGATGACTATATGATCACTGTTCATTCTTCTTGTCTATCTACTATTGCTATATGTTCACTCTCTCTACCCTACTACTATATGGATTATGATTCTCTTCTGATCATTATACTATTTGGCGATTACTACTTGAACAAATATTACTGGTGTGGATATTATTGGAAGGGGTTACTACTAGTACCGGCATCTACAAAGTTTTGAATATAACAAGCATATTTTGAATTGAAAATGAGCTTTATTTTGACATAACAAAAATGACAAGTAAAGCTGTCCAACACCACAAAAGGTACAAAAAAAAATAAATGGTTCAGTTTGAAATTCCAACAAATATCACCTGAAGAATGCTGCAGTGTACAATGGCTGAAACATCATGAATATGGAAATAAAGATAGGAAAACAGTCTGAACAATGTAAATAGTGTAAATGCTTGTCCTGATATTTCATTGTCATTTTTAGCAATAAATTTTCTCAAAAATTTTCAGCTGTTTTATGTTTCAGATAAATTTACATATTTGAAGAGTTATCAATAAAAACAAAAAATACTGAAAGTATTTCATACTTATAAAACCCATTGTACCTCTAATGTAGTAAAGAAATTTAAATATGTGAAGTAAATAAAATTGGAAGAAAAGTGCTGTATTATTTAAAGGTACTTAAAGGGAAAAAAGAGTTCTTTTGTATTCAATATAATACAGGGTGTCCATAAAGTTCGTGTGCACTTTAAAAATATTATAACTTTATTTGTATTTGCGATAGAAATAACCTGTAAAAAATTTTATAAAGTTTAATGTACCTAGTTTTAAGTATAGCTAAAATAACTAATGTGATTTCAGGCATTACTGTAAATCAGTTGGCAAATGTTTTGCGTGAACTGAAAAATCGTATTACCCTTTGTATTGCTAATGATGGAGGACATGTGGAAACTTAAATAAAATTTCAATAAAACCTTAAAAAATATAGATTTACTTCTTTCTAATCCTTTTTACATATTTCTATCACAAATACAAATAAAGTTATAAATTTTTTAAAGTGCACACGGACTTTATGGACATGTATTTTTCATGTTTTATAAAAAATAAATTATAATGGTTTCTAATTTCACTTGAGTTTCAAATACACAAGATAACTAGAAATTTGTTCATAATTTTTAGTAGTGAAACACTTTGTTGTAGAATACTTTCACCCTAAATTAAGAGGTGGGAAGAAAATTCCTGAATATTTAATAAAAGGGGTGGTTGGAATAAGGATGTTCTGGATAGATTTTTCTCCAAAAAAGAATAATTGTCCCAGCCTGTCTATTTGAAAGTCAGAGATAGTCAAAAGAAGTTGTTGAACTCTTTTGTGTTATATCCAAATTTATGTTGAATTAGGGCAAGTAAAATTGGAGTTTTACTTTAAAAATGTACAAGAAAATACATTAAAACCCTGGTTTTATTTATCCTGATTTAATGTGAACTTGGATATAATTCACTAGTTCAAGAATTGATTTTTCTTTTCTTTCTCGCTATCATTTTTCCTATATAGTTTTAATTAAGCATCAGTTTAGTGCATCTCTGCTTTTTTCATGATATTTTACAGACAGTAACAATTACCCAATAGCAGGTTCATTACCAAACTTTACAGCCATTTTAAAAAGGGAATTTAAATTCTAATTTCATTACTAATTTATTTTCATACATTTTTTTTTCTCCCAGATTGCCAATCGAGAATATAATAATTTCACTGACCTTGTACGGGACTTAACAAGAAATTGTACAACAGAACTTGAAAAAGTCAGGTAATACATATTTGAAATATTTACAGTATTTTATGGTGTTACCCACTCCATTTCAGATGGTAATATTAAAAAATAATGTTGGATGTTATATAAAATGTTATGGGAGCTTTATCCATGTTCCCTGTTTGATCCAGTTGAAAACATTTTTTTTTTAGAAGTTTTATAAATATATATTTGGAGCCAGAAAGTGGATTTTATATACCATTAAATATGGTATCTTTGTTTTAATTTTTATATTTTTGTCTGGAATGGACGCTGTAATTCTGAATAAATTATTGTGATTTACTGAATAGAAAGATAAGTGGGTTTTAAAGGCAGTTAAGAGGTATTTTATTTTTTATTAGTTTTCATTACACGAATTTCACACTTTATCCAAACAATTATTCAAGGGAGATAATCTAAGTTATATTGGTTTTTTATTCTATTTTATTCTATTCTTTTTCCACACAGATTTCACAACTTTGTCCCACAAAGAAATTGTTGCATTGCCTGCTTTATAATTCTATATAATATTATAGTTCATACGACTTTAGTTAGAAATTTGCATGTTCAAGTGTTTTCAAGTGCCTTACAGCACTTGTGAAATATGTTGAGTATTCATCAGCATTTTAATTTGGTCATCAATGACTGTAGGCCTACTGGAACATTTTCAGACTTCAGAACCTAGCAAACCATTTACCACAGTGCTCTCAGCTGTGGTACCATCTCTATAAACAGCACTTTTTTTTTTCTTTTTGCTGTTTGTGAGTTTTTTTTTTATTTTCCTTTCTGGAAATAAGAGTATTGAATGAAGAAAATACATCTCATTTTCCTCCATTTCATTTTTACTATAAAAACACAAAATTCACAATCAACTCACAAGGGATGTGTTAAAATGTCATCTTTCAGAATATTTATATATGTCCTAAATTTAAGCCACATGTGAAATGAAATCATGAAAAACCTTGTCCTAGGTATGACAATAAACTACATCCGGCAGTAAAGTCACTGATCAGGAAATTAGAAGTTTTGAGAAGCTTGGAACCACCTTTTAATTGCTATCGTTCCCAGGTCTGCCATGACCTGGGGTGGTAGCACCTGTTAGTGAATCCCCCAAACAAATACAAAACACTATGAAAGTATAAGAATACATTTTTATAGTAAAAAAACACCAGCAATATATTTTTATATAAAAAAATGACCAACTATACATATAGTAAAATAACCAATGCATTTTTATAAATACTGGAAAGAGTGATAACAGCTACTGGACTTGAAAACCTATTTTCCTGAGTAACTAGTTTAAGAGAAAGATTTTTATAATTTTCAACCAAAAACAGTACTGGCTGCTCAGTCAATGAATGCCAAATGTTTTCTTGAAGGTAAACAGCTAATTTTACCATTACCATATGATAGATATATAAGCATCCTCTTGACAGAAGATGTTTCTTACATATGAGCATGAATGTAGAATCCATGTTTGGAAAAAAAAAAAAAACTAAAGCCACTCACCCACTAGTTGACAGTAATTAACAAAGTCCAGAGTTGAATAAAATTTAATGTTACACATGAGAGATTAAATCTTATGTTCTCATTAAAATATACAACAATAACATTACATTAATAATAACTGACAATGTGTCAATTGTAAAAATTTAAGGTAATATTGCTTTGTTAAAAAAATTGCTTTTATATTTTAAAATATATTTGATTTTACTACTTAATTGTAAATACACGTTATCTTTTATTCTTTAATATTTTAATTTTAAACTTTTTTCTCTTTTTTTTTTTTTTCAGAGTTTTATTTCGTTGGCTTATTGCAAAAGATTTAAGCAAAAATTCTGTAAAACAAATCCTGCACCCAAATGCTTCACTCTCTTTACTGAAAGGCGTAAAAAGTGGTAAAGAGAGTTATCATCAGGTCTTTAAAAAGTTATGTAGGTAAGTTGATGTCCTTTTATTTAGATTATTTAATACTGTTAAACTTGTATATCTATTTCAGCTGTTAAAACCCACCAAAATTTGTGATGGATCCATTTCCAGTTTATGGAGAATTATTTTTTGTATATATTGACCAATGAGAGACAAGTTCTCTAATAACAACCTGAATAGGGTGACTTGTGACTCTAATTTTTCAAATATATAGCTCAGATCAGTAGAGATCCATTTAAGCTAATATGCCATAAAACAAAATAAACCAAACTAAATCAGGTCAGTAAATGAGAGGAGAAAACTTTTTGACAGCAAGGGGACAAGGCAAATCCACATCAAGGAACAACTAAAGGCTTTTGACATCAAAAAGAGAGCATCAAGAAGGCACCATTTACCAGCCAGTTGCAGAGAGACTAAAGGATTTTGAAGTTCAAATGAAAATTCCCCTATGGTTGGAAAACAACTGTCTGAATTTCTGGGATGAAGAGTTATCATTATTTGCACTATTTACATTCAGACCATTGTCGTCATCTTTGTTGCTGTTATCACAATGTTTCAGCTGTTGTGCCCTCTGGCCTTCATCAGGTGTGTATCAATCTAGATAACCTAGAAGGAACTCTGAACTGAACCCTTTATTTAATCTACAGAGGAAGACTGTTCTCATTCTACTGCCTATGTCTAGGGATATCTCATCTAGTTCTTATTTTTAGTACTATTCAGTTATTGCTTGCCCTATTTCCATTGATTCTAAGTACACACTCTCCAGCCCAGGGATTGAACTTGCAATTGGTATGTCACCAAATTCATGAAAATACACTTTAATCCACTGGGTATTGTCCTGTAGATAACAACAAAGATGAGAATAGTGTAAATAATGAAGAAGTTGTTTGTCTATATTTCTGAGATGAGGTATTATGTACAGTATTTACATTAGTCGGACTATTGTCCTCATCTTTGTCGCCATATTTGTCACAACGTTTTGACCTTCTTCAGGTGGTTGGAATTTCGAACTGAACCTTTATTTCGATCACTGGGGTAGACTGTTCTAATTCCACGTGCCATATTTGATGGATGTCAGTTATCAGTTATCTCCTGCTAATTTTCCCTCTGAAAGTTCTCCACTGCCTTAACCAGGAATTGAACTCACCTTCTTTGGGTCTGTCACTGGATCTAACCAACGCCTTTATCCTTGAGGACATCTGGTATGAACTTCTGAGTATTATAAACCTAATGTTTTCAGCATCATTTTTACCAGTGCTCATATTGCAATTTTGCTGTTATCATTGCATGTCTTTACCAGAGTTCATATTGCAACTTTGTTATGTTGCTTTTTCTCTGGCACTCCTTATTACTGGTTCCCATATTGTATTTATTTCTATGCTTGGTCGGCTCAGGAGATTTTTGTGGCCTAGCATATGTGCTGATTCCTTAAGTTTACGAATTTTCCAATGGTGTTCTTCCTTTTTAAGTTTGCATGTAACATTTTAAGACATTTTTTTTAGATTTTAAAATAGTTTTTCTGAATATTATTCCTATGATGTTCCTTTGAAGTTTGGTGTACATGTATTTGTCTTGGCTAAAATAAATCTTCCATAAGTTTATAAAAGGATGTTATTAGTATGAGTCTGTGGAGATACACAGTGGGCCAAAAATTATTTTGCTGTAATATTATTTTTTGACACACATTTTATTAAGACATATTTCAACTTAATAGCATGTTCGTTAAGTTATATTTCAGCTCAATGAAGTGTACATTAAATAAACTAAAACTAAGTCAAATATTCAAAATGACTTCCTTATTCATCAAAACCGATTTGACACCTCTTTTACGTAGCTACATGTTCTTCTCGATTCATGATCATTTTTTAAAATTTCAAATTCTCCTGTTATTTTTTCTTTCATTCATTTAAGATTTCTATGGTTTGTCTTGTAAAATGTTTCGTTGGTCATCCTCCAAATTGTGAAGTTATTTTTTTGTGTCAGTGCATGCTTATTTTTTCTTTATAGCCATGTGGGAAAAGATTCTGGTCATGGCACCAAATAATCAAATGTAACATGGTGGGGGGAACTCTTATTGTCACTTGTTCATTGTTCCCTGATGAAAGGTGGAATGATGATTTCTTGGGGAATTATGAAGTCATCCTCCTACTAAGATATAGAGAGGTGTAAAGTCAAAGGCAGATTAGTAGAGGCTTATCATGTGTTCTTTGATGAATAAAAGCTCATTCTCAGCCACTGGGAAGATATAATATACTGAGATGGCACCATGCATCATTGCTTTTTTTTATTATTATGATTATTAATTTGAAGATGATGATGCTTCTCCTTCTTTCTATGTTGACCATCCTCCTGTTTCTTAATCAGAGTTTAAAGGTGATGATTATTCTTCCCTGTAGCCAGTGATTGCTTTCGAAGAATTCAAAGCTTTGTTTATATTGTTGATTAAAAACTCAGGACTTGGTCTTCCTCTGAGAGTGAAATCTCTTAATTTTGATTTCACTTTAATATCACTCACACTATAGATAAATTAATAAAATTCTCTGGTTAAAGATAAAATTAAGAGGTAGAAATGGATGACTTTCTGAAGAAATAATTAGTTCACTTTGGTATTATACAACCCACCCACCTTCCCATTTAGTTTTAATGTTGTTTGGATTTTGCAAGAGAAAGCCATTTTAAATATTTAACCAAGATAAACATTTATACCTAGATAAAGTATGGGTTTAATAAGGTTCTTGACTGATTTTCAATATTAAGTATCTGTCTATATTTCTGAGATGAGGTATTATGTATCCTGTTTACATTATTCAGACTATTGTTCTCATCTTGGTCGGAAAGTCGAACTGAACCCTTTATTTCGCTCACTGGGGTAGACTGTTCTAGTTCCACGTGCCATGTCTAATGGATGTCAGTTATCTCCTGTTAATTCTACTGCCTTAACCATGTTTTCTTTGGGTCCTGTCACTGGATCTAACTGACACCTTTATCCACTGTGCCACGTGTCCTTGAGGACATCTATGTATGAATTTCTGAGTATTATAAACCTAATGTCTTCAGCAACCATTTTTTTACCAGTGCTTAATATGAATTAAGTTAAAAGAGGTGTTGTTGACCAACTTTTTAAAAGAAAAATAGGAGATTAGAAACAGTGGGATTCTCTAATCCAAATTAGATTAAAACGAAACAGATTTTAGAAACTAATTTGTTGGCCTACTTTTAGAAGTAAGTCTGAGGAAATATCTTGATTGATTTTATAAACCATAGTTTTTTCTTAAATTACATAAACATTAATTACAACTTGATATTTACCAAGCTAGCTAAGTCCATTACAAGGATACATGTTTGCTTTGAAAATCAGTATTTGGAATCCTGGTTTTTGTCTGAAATTGAACACTGACACTCATAGAAAATACATCATCAACAACCAAGCAGTCAACTGTTAATTTATGTACAACTCATGACATATTGCATATTGCCTTGGATAAACATGTTTCCATTCTTTGGTTTTATTTAAGGTAATGGCAATATGCTAGACAGTTTTTGTCATGCAGTATTCAGCAAAGGATATGGTTAATTTTTTTTTTTTTTTTGCTCTTGATTTTTGCTTGATGTTCCGTTTTGTGTTTTGTTTTTTCTTTTTTTTTTTTTTTTTTTTTTTTTTTTTTTTTTTTCCTTCCCTTTTTGTTTTGTGAGCTTTTGTTTTTGTTTTGTTTTTTCTTTTTATGTTTCCTTTTTGTTATATAGGAATAAAGTGTCACTGCCGACACTTGAGTTTGAACATAGATCACTATTGAGCAAACACAGGCGATTCCATTATTGAATTAAGTAGATCATGTGACCATAGAGGAAACGCATAAGTGGGAAGTTGCGTGGCATCTAAAGGTTCGCCATTTCTAGTCTATCCTCTGTTACTATTCAGATCACTATTCTCTACTCTATTCACGATACTATTTCTTTATACTATCATTATATGGATTACTATTCGAGCAAGTATTATTGAGCAAGTACTATTAGTGCAAGTGTTATTCGAAGGCGTCTGACACCAGCATTGTTCAAAGGTGTTACTATAGTTGTATCTGTGATTACAAAGTCTCTACTACAATGAGCATTACAAAAGTGACAATGAGTATTCATTGACATTACAAAAGTGTCAAACAAGTGTTCGTTGACATCACAAAAATTTTTCTTTTCTCCTTTTTTTTTTTTTAATGAGTGGCATTCCAACAGACTATTTTTTACTACATCAATATTAAGTGTTTGAGATTAAATAGCTGTATTTTTTCATTAATTGTTTCTCTGAATAACAATAAAAAAAACCTTCTGCTATTATTATTATTATTACTACCACCAATATCACCACCTTGATTTGAAGAGCTGCTAATTATTATTTTTGTATACAGTGGGAAAAATGCAAAATTAACACTGAGGATTCACATTTACATCATTCTTTATACAGTGTAACCCGGATATGAGAGAGTTGTCGGGACCGGAGAAGAAGTCTCTTATATCCGGGTTTCTCTTATATCCGGGTTTGGTCTATTTTGTTTAGGTAAGTACATGCTCTAATTTGGGACCAGAGAAAATCTCTCTTATATCCGGGTTACACTGTAGTTTAATAAATTTAATTTTATTTACCAAAATAAAATGTACAGAATCGATATAGCAATTTTTAATGGTAATTCTAATAAAAACACATATGAAATTATGTAAGAGTTTGAAAAGCCAAGGTAATAGTGAATGTCTTAATAACCAATGCTTGTACTGTAATATACAGAACATTCCTAAAGTCTGGACACATAGGCAAAAATATATATTTTCAAGAAATTAAATTTTCAATAACATTTTATTGAATTGGAATATTAACAAATAACATCTTCAATATGATTTCCATCATTTGTGATTTAAAGGCTGATGTGTGTTTCAAGATTCATAGGAACTTGATGCAATAACTTCATATTGCCGTCAATTTTAGTACATTCACTCTTTATGCATTCAATCAAGTTTGTTGCATTTGGGATTTTCATTGAGTACACCTACTCCTTTAGCATACCCCAGAAAAAGAAATCAATTCTTTCTTTTTTCGACAAAACCATTTTTAATCTGTGGAGGTAAAAAAAATATAGTTAATGAGATTTCCTGTGTCCAGACCTTGAGGACACCCTGCACAACAAGACTAATATAACATTGATTTTTTTTTCCCCCCCTAATTTTAAATACACCTTTTCTCTTATCTTTAATACACTTTTAAATATAACAGCAAAATTACTTATTAGGATAAATAAAAAAAAAAATTAAATCATTTAGTTATAAGATGGGGTTAGATTCTTTTTCTTTCTTTTTTTTTTTTATAATTGTCTCAAAATTAATTATTCTTTGTTTATAGTTTTGCAGGACTTCACTGTGAAATTATAATTGGTTACTCGAAAGGGGCTGGTTATAAACCTGGTATGCGCATAGAGGGCAATTCATTTCGAAATTCCTGGACTGCTGTTGCTGTTGATGGTTCTTGGAGATTTATAAATTGTACTTGGGCTGCAAGACATATTTCAGGGCATAAAGATGACCTGCCTCAAGTGAGATTTTGATCTTTTTTTTTTTTTTTTTTTAGAATATCTTATTTGTCTTGATGTAAGAATTTTTGTTTTTATTTCTACATGATTCATGAATTTGTATTTACTCTACCTGTTATTTAATATTAGAAAATTAGACAAAAGTTAATCATAAGAAGAATCAGGTCAACCTAACAAGAGACCCAGAGGTGGTTGTGTGTGGTGCAATAAGCACTAGGAGTTAAGTCGTCTTCCACAATTGGCTGTTAAGAGAAGACATTCTACTTACAGTAGATGGTTCTGACAAAATCTGCATATGAACAATAATAGGCAGTTATTAGCCAATAGTCAGCATGGGTCTGGGACTGAAAGAGCTATATAACACCACCTCAGCACTCTAAACATACAGAAAACCAGACAAGATGAACACATTAATTACTTGTTCAAAAGATACTAAAGAACACTTTAACCCATATTAATGCTCACCACCTAATTTTGAGGAGAATTGGCTAGTTTACTTCTTTTTTTAATCATTTCTCTCCAAGCAAGAGAATAAAGCCACTAAGACAGAAGGCATTACTGAGTGTGAAAGACTGAGAAACATTATTAAAGAGAGAGAATAATAAAAGAACAGGAATTAAGAAAAGAGAAGATTATTTCTGTGACATCAAGGTATGGTGGCACCAACTATCTTTACATACTGCTCTCCTATGACTTTTGGAACATCAATGTATATTAGCAGATATACTAATCTGGCAAATCCATTAGGTCAAAACTCAAAGCAATATGTGTAAAACAGAGAAATCTGTCAATATTCAAAGTTACTCTTGAGTCACATCTTGTTGTAATGGAATGTCCCACATTCCCTATTGCCTCTTGTGGACTGACTATATCAGTAGATATATACGGTGTGCACAGGATATACCTGGCGGACTTGCTTCAGCAATTAGTTGGAGATTTGTATCCAGCTATGCTGGTCGAACTCTTTGCCTTTGGGCAGAGAGGAACCCAGACAAGGCTATGCCGAAGGGCAGTCTAGTCTGGAGTGGTAGACAGCTACCTGACCCCATTTTGTTTCGGGGTCTATGGGGAATTTTTGCCCGAGCCTACAGACTCGGGTACCCCATGTTAAATTCGACCTTGTGCCACATCTGACCGTGTGGGGCGGTTGGCAAATATCCTTGCTTTGGCAATTGGAGGTTCGTCTCCAGCTGTGCTGGTCGAACTCTCTGCCCTCAGGCAGAGAGGAATCCAGATGAAAGGTATACCAAAGGGCAGAGTCTCGTCTGGGGTGGTAGACAGCTACCCGACCCCGTGTATACGGGGAATTTTTGCCCAAGCCAATGTGCTCGGTTTTGGCCCGCATTAAAAAACGGCCTTGTGCCACATCCTGCCTCGCAGGGAGGTAAGGTAAATAACCTTTGTTTCGGGAATTACTAGCTTGCTAACCGATTTCCTGTCTTTCAGTTGTGTATTCCCTTTTGCAATAAACCTCTCTTTCTTTCATCTATGCCCGTGTTGCTGTTCCTTTCACTCAAGTACCACCTTTGTCTGTTTGTAACCTTCTTTAATACAACACATCTCAAAATTACACAAGGTATCATCTAAAATATTCTTTAATATATAATAATAATCCCTTTAAAAACAATTTCAAATATTGATAAAGGAAAATAATTTCCTTGTTTTAAATTTTCATTGATAATTACAGATGAAGATTTTTGTGATCAAAAACAGACATTGAATAAATACACTTACAGACATACGCACTACACGTTTTGCTTAAACTGTGAACTAAACAGAAAACTAAATTTGTATATGGAGGTATATTGTTCTCTTTCCATTATCCATGTCTAGGGATATCTCATCTTTTTCTTATTTAGTATTACTCAGTGATTGCTCATTCTGTTTCTACCAAGTCCAAGTTTGCACTTCCCAGCCCAGAGATTGAACTTACAATTACTATGTCACCAAATTCATGAACTAACACTTTAATTAAAATGTTGGTTTGTGAATTTGGTGAATTTGCAGACTATGGGAACAGGACGAGTAGTACTAAATAAGAACAAGAGATATCCTAAGACAAGTAAAATGACATGAGAACAATCTAGCCCCATAGATTAATAATGGGTTCAGTTTGAAATTCCCTAAAGGTTATGTGAATTGACAAGCACCTGAAGAATGGCCGAAACGTTGTGATAACAGCAAAGATCAAGATAATAGTCAGAGTGCAAATAATGTAAATAAAGATTTATTGCATACAAAAATTATTTCATCACTAATTTTAAATTTTGTTTAATCTAGCATTATTCATAGAATAAAATTACATTTTAGTGATATATATCTTTATTTAATGGATTTCATTTCTGACCATTTTTTTTTGTTATTTTCAGGTTTTTCACACTTATGATGAGTTTTACTTTCTAACTGATCCAGAAGACTACATTTATCAACATTACCCAGACGAGCCTGCATGGCAATTATTAGAAATCCCACTACCATTCTCAGAGTTTATCAACCTTCCTGTTGTGAAATCTCCATTTTTCAATTATGGGTTACGCTTTTATTCCAATTATGGCGCCACTATTTCTACAGAGTCTGGTGTCATCGAGATACGGTTAATAATACCTAAAATTCTTGGCTTTGGTTCCATGTTAGAACCGTTTGATAAAAGCCAAGATAAAAAGGACATGGAAGGAAGAACACTATTACGCCTTATCAAGAATGAAGCTATATTTACAGTTAGTCTACCACGAACTGGTCTCTACTATTTCTCTGTCTATATTGGTGATTTCTGGCATTCTGAATGCTTGGAAAGTGCTTGTTCTTTTCTCATCAACTGCAAAAGACTGCTAGGTCCACCCGCACCACCATATCCACCTGTTCCATTTTTTGGAGCCACCCCTGCAATGGAAGCTCTTAACATCACTATGGAATCTCACCCTGATCCTTTAATTGTAAGCAATAATGATACTCTGGAAATTGTCTTTAAAATGGGTCAGGAAGTAAAAATCACACATTCTTTTCAATATTTTGACATGAACGACAGTTCAATCACAGATATCGATAGATATGTCTTCCTTCGTTCCCGGACTGACAAGGGAGCTACCTATATGATTCGGTGTCCAAATGAAGGATTTTACATTTTTTCACTCTATGGAGCTGGCGACAAAGATGATACCCAAACACTGGAGTGCATTTATCGTTATCTTGTTGTCTGCCAAGAACCTAATCCTGCCGTTAATGTGTTTCCTAACACTTTTCACCGCTGGCAGAAATGTACATTATATGAACCACTCTCTGGGGATTTGCTCACAGGACGTAGATACATGTTTCGATTGGAAATTCCCCGTGCAGTTGAGGTGTTTGTTGTCAATGGTGAAACTTGGACCCATCTTAAGAGAAGAATTGGTTATTCTTGGGAAGGAAGTGTCCCCATGCCAAATACAGCAGGGACAACTAAAGTCATTGCACGGTTCACAATGGAAAAAGACACATCAATGTTCGCTCATCTCTTAGATTATGAACTTGTTGCAGATGCTGAAACAGAAATTTGATTGATTATTTCCAGAAACCAATTCCTTTCAAAGCAATTATGGAAAAAAATTAGTCCAATTTGGAGAATTGTGTATAAAGAGAGGCAAAAAGATAAAGAAAAAATATAATTTAAATATCATAAATTTATTTATAAATTTTATATTGTTTGGAAATTTTTGTTAATTAATGCAATCCATTCACTGATTTTAAAATAAAGAATTTATATTAAAACTTCTGTCATAGTTTTCTAGTTTGAAAATATTATGTGGCAGTCATGTTAAAAGCAACTTGCCTGAGCCTGTGGACAACCATGATTATCCATTGTTTCATGGCTTTGTTATTTTCTCACCTTTTGCCTGTATCTTCTCATTCACTCCCTTATCCCTTACAAACCTGTACATGTTATTATCCAGACATTATACAAGTTTTGATGTATTTCATATGCAAGAAAGGAATAAGGAATGCACAAATATTTTCTACTGCTTCCTCTCTTTTCTTTCTTTTGATCATTTTCTCTTTTCTTTCTTTTGGTCTTTCTCTCTTTTGATCTTTCTCTCTCCATATATAATTTTTATGTATCACAATTTTTACACTTTTTCATCCCTATTTGCTTTTCAGTCTTTCATGCATTACATCTTGGTATCCAACCAACAAGCCTCTCTCTCCATCTTTTTCATCATCTGTTTTCTCTCTCGTATACAGTAGTACCTCCACTTACTCGCTGAAAAAAAAAACATAGCATGATGAAAAAAGGCCCCAAACTTAATAAAAACAAAGTTTTATCGTCAAAATGTTTGTTATTATTAAGAGAAAAGACCAAAATATTTTTTAATTATTTTATTAAATTTTTTAATCCTTTTGAGCACATTTGAAATTTTGGTTAAAAATCTTGTTTTTTTTACGTCAGCAGTTAACGTAATATTTAAGATTAATGTTTTTGCACTTTTTTTTTGTTTTTTTGTTTTTTCAAGTTGAAAAATACATTGATTTGGAAATTCTTGCAAAAATCAAATAATTGTCAGATTTTAATGAAACTTTCAGGGTTTTTTCACAAATGAATGAAATTATTTTTGAATTTTTTTTTTTTTTAGAATATCTTCGTTAAAATATTTTTTTACATGTGCTTCAACCCCTTAATTTTATGAAAACTTGAGAAATTCAACATGATAATTTTTAGTGACTATATTAGTTAAAAGCAGAATTCTTTGAAGTATTTAAATCATTAAATGTTTTTCCAAAATCAGACCCTGTTTAATGAAAATCTGTTCTGAATTGAAAAATAAATAAAAGCAATAAAACTTAGACATTTATAGAAGCTTTTAATTGCTTTTATGAACAATATACAGTGTAACCCGGATATAAGAGAGTTGTCGGGACCGGAGAAGAAGTCCCTTATATCCGAGTTTCTCTTATATCCGGGTTGGGTCTAATTTATATACATTAACACAGGCTCTAATTTGGGACCAGAGAAAATCTCTTATATCCGGGTCTCTTATATCTGGGTTACACTGTATATTAAAGACAATATTCTTTTAGAAAATCTTGGTAAAAAAAAATTTTTTTTTACATATGTTACCTCCACTTCATGAAATTTAGAGAAATTAAATTGCAATCTCAAAGTTTGTTTTATTTGTTAAAAGCAAGACTCCTTAGAGAATTTAAATCCTCAGTCTATTTTTTATAAAATAGCCCCCCCAGTTACCAAAAATTTGCTCTAAATTGTAAAATAAAAAATCCAATAAAACTATAACATTATTAAATTAGAAAAGCTTTTAATTGCTTTTATAAATAAGATTTATTAAGGACACTATTGTCTTAAGGGGAAAAATTTTTTCTTTGAATAATGAATTTTTACAAGGATTGTTTTCATTTTTTAAAAATTTAATTATAATATTCTGCATAACTTCAATCCAGTTGGGTGATATTATTATTATTATTATTATTTTTTTATTTTTTTTATTTTTATTTTATTTTTTTATTATTTTTTTTTGAAAGCTGTATTTATGAATCAAAAAATGAAAAGCTTAATAAAAGTCATTTATCCCCAATATTTTAACATTCCCATTTTTGAAAGTATAGATGTCCGTCACATGTTTAAAAAGTTGTTCTCCCTAAAAATTTGGCTGTCTGCAATTCTTTCATTTCTGTGTTTCATCATATTTACATCTCAACAGGATTTGCAAATCATCCTTTCAAAATTTTTAACTTTAAAATTTAAAGCAATTTTTATTTTTCTTAATTCCTATTTCACTAAATATTTTTGTTTCAAGTATTTATTTTAGTGTGGGTCATACGTTAAATGATATTTTTTTTAGTTTCACTTAAAGAAAGAACTTGGGGACAAAACTATAATTCTATTAAAAAAATAATTTTTACTTTAACTTAAATTAAATTTTTCTTATTCAATTTCTATTTGAAGTTCTTATTTTTTACTTTGCATGTCATTTTGAAATTTCCATTCAAATTATTTTTATCAAAATGTTTTTTTTTTGTTTTTTTTTGGGTTAGTAGTTTTTTACTTTTTTTTAAGTTTATTCTTTTGGTGAGAGTTATTTTGATAAAAATGTAAGGCTATAAATATATAAGTAACTAAAATTCAATAAAATATTAGATGACTGCTGAAAATATTGTTAATTTTAAAAAAATTACTAGGTAGTTAAAAAGCCAAATCAAAGAGTTCAATTAGAATTTGTAAATGTATGTCAATTTCTAGTCAAGCATACTTAGCTGTCAACATCTTAGGCTGCCAATAACATCAATCAGCACATTGGAAAAACAAGACCCCATGGTTAAAAAATACTTGAATACTACATTTTATATGCTATAAGATAATAATATATGTTTCAAATCAGATTAATTTAACTTTAAATTTACTAATTTTTCCTCAAATAACATGTCATATATATTTTATGTTTGGAAGATTTTTAAAACCGAGAATTAACTTTTGTTTACAACAATTTGTTTTTATAATAGTTTTACTCCATAAAATCATTTTTTAGTCTCGGTTATTAAAGATTTAATTTTTCATTTTATTTAATAAATCTTCAATAACTGAGACTTAAAAAAATAAACAGTCTTTTTATCAACCTTGAATTTGTTTCTATGAAATTCATATATTTCTTAAAATTTTATAGCTTTCAAAACGGATTTTCATCTTTATTTACTTAAAAAAATAACCCTTTATTTGAAGTTTCCTGAAAAAAGCTTTTTCATACAAAAGTTTGCATTAAAAAACCTAAAGTTTAATTTTCCATCAAAAATTGTATTTAATTTTATTTTACTAATATTTTTCTTTGGCATAATTGAACTTTGCTGTGTTAAATTATTATTTTTATGGCATTTAAAATATTTTGAACCTTTTTCTCATTTATTTCTCCTCAGAGCCAAACAAGATGCAAGTTTTATGATAAGTGTGTAAAAAAAGTTGAAAACAAGTATTTTTATCTCATTTTTATCTGGCATGATTAAGCTAAAGTTTTTTTTCACTTTTAACATGATTTGTTTCAATATTTTTAAAATAAAACTAATAAAATTTCATCTTCTAATAATCTAATAAATAACAGAAAAAATCAATCCCATGTAAAAAATGCACATTTACAGTTGTTCTCATCCTTATGAAGATTTTAATCATTTTTAATCTTATTTTTATTTTAATGCTTTGTAACAGTTGAATCTCATTGGATATCAGCATTATTTACCTTTCAACTTTCTAATATTTAAAAAAATTTATTGTAAAGTTTACTAAAATTGATTATATCTCTTTAAAAAAACAAGGAATATGTTTTTACTGTGTTGTTGCACTTTTACACTTTTTTCTTTTAATAAAAATAAAACACATTTTAAAAATTATTAAACTTTTTAGTTGTGAAGAGATTGAATTCTGGGGAGTTTAGTGACCAGATGTAAGGGGTGATGTGGTCACCGAAATTATTTCACAGCCATGACTGGGTTCTCCTGCTGGTGTGGCATGGTGCAGAGTCCTGTTACCAGACATAGGGTTTTTCAGGAGCCACCCTCTTGACCCAGGGCAGCATTATCTCCTCAAGGCACTTGATGTAGGCCTCCATGTTGAGTCTCACCAACAAATTTGGGAGTTCTTTTCTTATCAGAACAATTAAAGTAAGTTTTCTAACCTGCCCAACCTTTGTAATCACCATTAGACTCATCCAACTCTTTCCAAATCCTCTGCATTGTTCTCAGATTGATACCTGTTATATAGGAATAAAGTGTCACTGCTAACACCAGAGTTTGAACATAGATCACCAGAGAGCAAACACAGGTAATCCCATTTTGAATAAGTATCACATGATGGTAAAGAAAATGTATATATGCGAATTAGAGTGGCGTCTAAGTAATTACTATGTGGATTACTATTCAGATCTCTATTCGGCAGTTACTTTTTGAGCAAGTACTATAGTGTAAGTGTTATTTGAAGGCATCTGACACCAGTATTGTTCAATGGTGTTACTATAGTTGTATCTGCAATTACAAAATCTCTACTATTACAAGCATTACGAAAGTGACGAGTATTCGTTGACATTACATAATAGGCAACAAGTGTTCATTGACATCACCCAAACACGCTGAAATGTTCATATTGTATGTTCCAGCACAAATGCCAAGCACTTTTTCTCAGACGACGCCCAACTGACCATACTATACTGTGCAGTTGACAAAATCAAAAACAATGTGTATGCACAAAATTAAAAATATAAAATGGTGACAATTTACCCATCGCACCCTATATATGCATGTGTGTGTGTAATGTAATAATAAATAAAATACATTTGTTCACTTATGAATGTTTCTGAGTTTCATGGGATCACATCCACTCTTCAGGAGACTTGATGATAGACATTCATAAGCTAAGTGAACAAATTTATTATTAATGTACTATCTCTTGGCAGCTAGTGCTATAATTACAAAGACTGCTACCTTCCAGAATTAACCTATTTGACTCATTTTCTTTGTTATTGTTGTCATATGTTTGGTTCACCTCAGAAACCTAACCACAATCATTATTTTTTGAACTTCATTTCTTTAAAGACATACAGCTGAAGAGATCTGTTGATTTTTCACTAGTTTCTTTCTTACCAATTTGATTTACAGCCACATCAAAGACTGGTTCCTGTATGATCACTGAAGTTTAGCAACATCAAGCCTGGTCAGTTCCTAAATGAGTGCCCACTTGGAAATACCAGTTTGGATGTGTGGGTGGTGTAATGCATAATGGCTCACAATTCTTAATCAGAGAGCTGTTTTCCACTTCCAGTTGGGTTTATAATATTCACTTATGTGCAAATACCCTTTGGAAAGATATGAATCAACCTCTTTCCCCAGCTATGGGTTAATTAGTAGGACTTGTAACATTAAAACCATTATTATCTCCCCCTACCAAATAAATAAAATTGCATACAAAATATTTAAATTTTGGCATTCAATAACCCATAGAGGTGTTGCTATGCTGCTAAACAAAAACAACCAACCAAAAAATTTCTTAGCAATGTCCCAGCAATGATTTAATTTCTGAATGAGAGCAAGTATTCAAGAGGAAAGGAAATAAGAAACTCCATACTTCACTTTCTTCATATTCCAATAGCAAACAAGACATTAGATTAGCATTTTGGAAAATCAACATTTAATTATAGTGAATATATGCACGCACGCACACACACATATATATATTTGTGTGTGTGTATATATATAATTATAATTTTATCATGTAGACAAAAAAAGTTTACTCACTACAAAGATGCAACTTCGTTTCAGTGCATTTCAATTGCACCTCGACTGGTAAGAACCAAAAATGGTTATGAACAAATTGCTTGTAAACAAGCCGTATATGAAACATCACTTCCTTTTTTTCCATTTGTTTGAGAAAAAAATACACATAAAGGCAAAAAGGTGACAGAGTGAAACAATAGTGCTTGTTGATAGCAGTTTGGTGAAGGATGGCTGAGGTGTTAAATGATGGCTAGTCTGGAAAGATTCCTTGTTGATAACGGTCAAAAGTTTAGGCGCAGCATTTCGCAAACGTCCTAAGAGTGAGGGGTAGGAGAGGAAAGGTAGAAATAGCAGATAGTAATACGATGAAAGAGGTAGGAGGGATAAATTTTAGCGATAGTTATAGTAGTAATTGGGAATGTTTTTTGTTTTTTTTTTTGGTTCACTATAAAAAAACTAAGCTAAAGCTGAATTGCATATATTTATGTTGGAGTTATCACTACTAATTTTGTAATCAATGAAAGTGTTTTGTAAATTAATAAATTTAGAAGTGGTGATTTCTTCTTGGTATGTTGAATATATAAGTTATTTGGCTTTAAAAAAACAGTTTTGATTTAGAAATTAAAATATAAGTAGAAAAATATATATAAAAAATGTATGGGATATTACTATAACTTTTATAATCTAATTTTGACCTATTGTTGGACAGTATAATGTGTAGAATAAGTATGGATGTAAAACAATTTATCTGAAAGTATTACTAGTAATATATATGCAAAAAGACATATTAAGGATCTAACATTACAATCTTGCTAAATTCTTAAATCCATAATGCTAAATGTTTAAAATTAAAACCCACCTAGTTTGATATACTTCCTACCCTCTTATATACCTCTCCACTAATTTATCTTAAAATATTTTTTTTTCGCATATATATTACTTGTAATACTTTCAGATAAATTGTTTTACACTCATACTTCTTCTACACATTATACTGTCTGACAATAGGTCAAAAGTTTTTGCAAGGAAGTGTCCACAATGGATTAAAGTTGAAATGTTTCAGTCATAACAGACCAGCAAATATGAAATTGATTTGCCATGTTTCTTTCTGGAAAAACATTGTTGGAAGATGAACCCAGCCCAGTTCATTGGACTTTGATGAATATCTAATGTCATTAGTGAAAAGCAATCTATAGCAACGTATTTTGGAATTAGTGAAAATGTTAAACACATCACAATCTACCATATGTTGACACTTAAAAAAGATTCATGAAATCAGCAAATTGGGTGTTCGGTTTCTGCATGATTTTAGCAAAAAGAATAAAGTGGATTGTTAGGTTTTTTGTTTTTGTTTTTTTTCCACAGTGGTGTTCACCCTGTACAAGTCCTGGAGGTCACTCGAGGTAGTGGGTTACAAAGTAAGAAGCACAGCTGATGTAGATGTGTGAAAGATAATGGTTTGAACAGGTTAGAATTGTAGTGATTGAGGTAACAACCTCTTGGGAGGTGGTTCCACAAAGCAGTGGTTAAATGTAGGTAATAGTGAGTTTGGTAGAATACTAGGTAGTGAGACAGCCATACCATCATGGCATCGAGATGTCCCACCAGAGACTGCTGCAAGGTCCAGAACCCATTCCCAAAATAGCAGTACAAGAGCCTCGACACCTGCTGATAGGATAGCCTCCTTAGAAGTTACTCAAAGATTCAAATCCATTCCCAAACAAACAAATTATTTATCATTTAACCGAATATATATCTACATTACATACACACGAGAATGGGCTGAAAAGTTTGTGGCTGACCCACTTCCCCAAATTCTTGGTTGAGCTGAGAACTTTTCAGCAGCTCTCATATATATTTACTAACTCAACCACATTATTACAAGTGATAGCATATTTTTTGTAAATCCTTACAGTTATTAGGTTTTCACATGTGAGTTTTTTAAATTAATAAGTACACTTAATATCCATAAAAAGTTAGCTTGGCACTTCTGCCTAGAATCAATTTAGTTTCTGTTCACTCTGCTAAAACTTAATATTTGCAAGTAAGCCATTTGTTCATGTATCAAATATTGCTGCTACATCTGGTCACGTGCTTACTTGCTTTTCTGTCAACTATGATCTTCAGAATTTTAAATAGTGCAATGTCAATCGTCATCTGTCTCCTTGAATCTTTTAATGTCCTCTATCTCTCTCCCCTCAGTGTTTTTCTCAATTTCCTTCACTCTCAGTAACCCTTTGCATCTTAGTGGTTTTATCACCTTGCTTCGGATGAAATGATTAAAAAAAAAAATTCCTGCTGAAGCAGAAGAACATAAGCATTATGGATATATCACTTACTTTTAGATCAGATGTTCAAATTAAGGCAGGATTCACTTATTTCAAATTAAGGTGGGATTCAATTAATTATTTTATGTCTTATATACAAACAGCACATTATATAATTAGTTTTTTCCTTTCACCTAGTTTCCTTTTCATTTTTATCTGGCCTTCTTACCTGCTCACATTCTTCTTTTCTTTCTTCTTCATTTGTTGTATTGATAAACAAGCTAACAATTTTTTATTATGATTTATACTTTCAGACTTGCATTTTTTTTTTTTTGTTTAATAAATATTCCTCTACTAATTTTACTTTTCTTCTCACTTCAATTGCCCTCTCCTTGAAATCTTAAATAAAAGAAATAACAACTAAGTTAAAGAAAATGCAAGAAAAATAACTTGAAAATGATTACCTTCTCTTCAGGGTTTGTTTTTATTCTTATTTTTTAACTAATATTCGCCCAATACAATGACCAAGAGGCACTCAAGGTAGAGGGTTACTCAATGAGGATGTATGCACATAAGAAGAGATAAGAACTGCAATTTATGGGGTTATATAGGAAAGATAATAGTTAACCCTAGACTAGATGAGTTGTCACTTGACTTCAATTGCTTTCCTTTACTAACTTGTTCACGTTTCTCTTCGGTTAAAAAGAAAACCCCATCTGCTGACCATAAAACAAAAACCACTTGAGATCAAGATAAGGTTATATTTTTCCTCTTCTATGGGGATGTCCCAACCATAGTGTCACACCATCAAAAGGAGAAAATGCTGGTTTATTGGTGTCATACCTTCCAGCAATTGAAGTAGCCTTTCTTTTTTTTTTCATTCCTATGCTCCACATTTTTTTATTAATATAATGGGCCAAAAGAAAATTAAGGGGAGTGAACACATGTACGAGGCAATGCAACACCTACCAAATAATTTTAACATTTTTATTTTGTATTTAAAGCCAAAACAAAAAAAAAGATATAGTTTGAAAGGAAGTTGTAGCAAAGTGGTACTACAGGATTGTAATGGACAAGGTGGTTGTTGTTGATTTCTTGATTGTAGCAGAATGATTTATGAGTTGTTGTGAGTGCAGATAAGAAGTTTCAAATTAAATGAATTCAATACATATACTTAAAAGAACAACACAGTTCACAGAAGGAGAAATTATATTTATGTGTATACAGATAGCTCAAAAAAGAAAGAAAAGCTTGTATGGGATTAGGTGTAGTATTTATGTGCATGATGTCCATGTGGATGGGTTGGAATTTCTCGCACCTCCCATCTGTGGAATTCCCTTCCTATACTCATTTCCCTGATAGCTATAATCTCCAACTATTCAAATGTAATGTCAATCGACATCTCCAGATGCCTTGATCTATTCCCCATCTTTCTCTTCATCCTTTCCTCTATCACCCCTCTTTACTCTTGCTCCCACTCTCTGTAATCCCTTGCGTGCTAGTGGCATCCCGCCTTCCTTGGGGTGAAATTCTTACAAAAAAAATTAGTCGGCTGCTCTGTTAGCTCACTTCAGAAAGGAAGTGTCCCATGTTATTACTAGTACATCCTGAAGCAAAGCAAGGAAGAGTTTTTATGTCACTTGCTTTTATAATTCTGAATATGATATCTAGTGAGCATCCTGACAGACAAGACGGGGAATCCCCACAAAGTACATAATTCCTTTTGCATTTAAAATATAAAAAAAAGAATTCGAAAAATGATCTTGTGGCTCTTAACCGTAGTGATATTCACCAATTGACAAAAAAGTGACCTGAATCAATAAAAACACCCAAAACTTGTAACATGTCAATTTTATCATACTAATTTCTGTCTTCTCTTGCTATGTCATTGCACACACCTAAAAAAAATGACACACAACAAAAAACTAGGAATGTAAGCAGTAAAACCAGATGAACAACATACTTTTTCATAAAGAAACATATTAGAAGCTGAATTGGAATAATATCAATCTAATAATCTGTTACAAAATCTGAAATCTCTAAAACACTTGATCATTTCTTTTTTCTTTTTTTTTTAAACTACTTATCTCTAGTAATAAAAGTTTGTCTTTATATAAATTAAAAAATCTAAATTTATTTTGACTTGAAAAATGCCATTGTCCCATTGTATTATAAATGCACGTTTAGTAGCACAAAAGAACAAATGAAACAAGTATCACCAGTGAACTGAAAAGAAGACAAGAATTGTTAAGATAAAATTCTTTGTATAGATGGCTGATATAGAGGAATTAGGTGGAATGTTTCCTTGTGGGCGTGAAAAGTAACTTGGGAGAGTCGGAGGCCCAGAGTTGATAAATGTGTTAGATCAGTTGACTGAGGACACTAGTGGTAACATTGACAGCTTGCCCACTGGGTCGTGACTGATATTGAAGACACAACAAAGGTCATCCTGAAATCACCCCCACCCCCAAAAAGTGGACAAGATTCACATGAAAAAAAAGAATTACCTCAGTTACTTAAAAATCATTTAAACTTTAAAGTGATTTAATAATTTATTATAAAGTTTTATTGAAATCCAATAATTAGTTAATTTTTTGTAGCTTTTTAGTTTTTAAAATCTGTCTTTTGCATCTCTACTTTAAAGTTTTTTTTAGCAATGTTTAACATTCGTTCTCGAAAAATCCTTCTGGTGTGTCAATTTGCCTGAGGATGAAATGGAACTAATGTTTTTAATTTAATTACAAAATTAAAATCGAAGCTTTCAGCTCCCATTTTTGAAACATGGTTAATACTGTGCAGCAAAAAAAAACATATTTTAAATCAGTTAATTTATAATATTAATGCTCTGTAAATTTGCATTGAGCACTATCTTGTAAAAAAAATAACAATACCAATAAGAACACTGGATTATATATCTTACTGTTCTTTCTTTTTATTTATATATACATAAAAGGTAAATAATAAATATTGCATTGTACTTGGCGGCTCACATATTTTTATAATCTTGTAATGTAAATAAACAGTGTAATAGTAATACTAGCAGTGTCAAGGGAATAACGTTCTTTTTTACACGCCATTTTTTTGCGGACATAAAAAAGTTAAACGTTGCTGTTTTTTAACGCCAATTTTATACTTTTTGACACACTATAAAAACATTTTTAAAATGTTTTCAAATGAATATTTCCTTTTTTATTGTACACAAATATTTTAAATCTTTCTTATTGATACTACAAAAATGATATTAAAATAAATTATCATATTACAAGTTTGTTTAAGCCTGTAGTTTGTACACACAGGACTGCAATCACAAGTAATGCTGCTTCATTTTCAATAGTGGCAGGTGAATTTATACAAGGTTGCGGTTCCAGATTGATTTGACACTGTTGGCTTATTCTCCTTTACATGTCACTTTGTTGACAATGTTATATATTTATAGCCTAAATTTTATGCTTACTTTGAGGATGGTACAAGAGAGTCAAGAGTCTCTCTACCACAAAGTTAGTGGTGCATGTTGTTCATTGTTTAGAGTGTTTTTGAAGATGTACATTGAGAGACATTTATTAATTGTTCTAGGTTCATGTTTCAAAGGTTTTTCTACAAATCTTTTTTTTAGAGAAATTACAGTTTAACACATTTTTTGTTTTTTTATAGTTAATAATATTAAATCATATGAAATGTACACACATTAGCTAGATGTGAACGCTAAGAAAGAAAAATTTAAAAAAGAAAAGTCACTCTCTGTGTAGAGGTTCAAAGCATGACATCCAGCTTACAAAACAAATCCGCTTGGAAAAAAATACAATATAAAAGGAGCCAATCACAAATCTTGTCACTAAAGCAATAGCATGACAAAAATGCTGAGTCATGATCCACCACATCTGTTTTTAAGGACACCATTCATGACACTAATCTTCATTGAAGTCATGCATGTCCTTCATTTTTGCATATTTTATAATTCCCATGAGAAATAAATTGTGTACTTGGAAAAAAAAAAAAAAAAAAAGAGAAATATCCTGTAGTGTAGCAACACCGGCAACTCGTACGTTTTTAAACACTTTTTCTTTCTTAAGTAACAATCTTTTAGAAATAGCACCAAAAATGCTGCCAACAACATTATGCACTTTTAAATTTATACTATGGCTAAAAATGACAATACGGGTACCCTATATAAAAAACGACGTTATCACATAAGGGGGCGATCAGATAAACACCCCCGCTTCTTTAAAGTCTGTAAAAAAGTAGGCGGACCACTTAACTTTTGCATTGATTGCATTACTGACTTACATTTGGTGATGTACAAAAAAGCAAGAAAGAAAAAAAGAAAGAAAGAAAGAATAATTCCAAATAAGCATTTTTATTTCTGTGTTAAGCTAAGCATGTTAATCGTTAAATAAACTGAAAAAAAAAAAAACGTCTTTTTGTTTTTGTTTTCGAAAGTGTTCAATAGTGTTTTTAAATTTTTAACATTTTAGGAAATAAAAAACTAAAAATGCAATAGTTTTTCGAATTTGTGGTTAATTACTTTTAAGTTTTTGGGAATTGAGTGTTTTTTTAAATACATACATTGTATGTCTTTGTAAAAATATTTTTGTTCTATTGTTGAAATTTATTTATTTGTAGGTTTTTTTGTAGTACAGAACATGCAAATTATTTTGAAAAAAATCCCGTTAAAAAAAACTTTAAATTTTCACAACGAATAAGAAAAAAAATTAAATATCTGTTTTTGCTTATTCATTTAAATAAAATTCATAAGAATGGATAAAATTTCATTATTTTGTTTTCAAAGCAAAACAATTAGTCAAAATTCTTTCCATTTCGAATCAGAAGAACAAGAACGTTAACTCTAACAATGGCACATTTACTCTTCAGTTGTTTGTTAAAGAAAAAACATGGCGACCTCCAGTATCCGTCGTCTTCCAATTGTTGTAGTTGCTGGTGCTACTGGAACAGGCAAATCAAAACTAGCTCTGGAATTAGGACGACTGTTTTCTGGTGAAATAATCAGTGCCGACTCTATGCAGGTTAGTACTTATTCTTGTAATTTTTATACAAGTTCTTTAAAATCATTCTGGTGTATACAAGAAAAGCACGTGGTTTGTGCGAGACAATTTGTTACCTCTCTAACTTTAAGAATAGTATTTTATTATTTAACAAATTAAAAAAAAAGTCAGGATAAATAAATAAATTTCCATGTAGTAATTATTAATTCGGTAAGGAATATACTATGAGATTTTTTATAAAAGAAAATATCTCTTACTCTCCGCATATAAAAAAAAAATACCCTACAGTATTACTTTTTTTTTTTTTAATGTACTCTCACAGTCAGTGGCCACATTGCGTTGTCAAGGAGATTCTAACTAGGGATAAGGATCGTCATCCCCTGAGGCACTTATCAACTATATTTTTGTTTTACTGAGTAAAAGGGGTCAAAGTGCAGAAAGTTCGCTTTACCGCCAAATAGTAGAAATTCATTGTAAAAAAAAAACCTTCCAAAGGTGTTGTCATGGAGATCAAAGAAAAACGTGCATCTGGACTAACCTTGAAAGAAAGTACATCACATCAAATTTTAAACTTGAAAAAAATTTGATGCTATCTTAAATAGATTAATATTTCTTGGAGTGATTGAAAAATCTATAAAAAACAAAAAAAGAGTTCTTTTTATTTTATGTCGGTAAATTCAAAACATAAAGGGAAGCTACTCCAACTTGTTGCATAACCACAATTAATAATCCCCATCTATTAAAATTAATATATTGCACATTTCGATAGCAATTAATTTCCCCTAATGTAGGAGTTATTTCCCCTTATTTTTATTTATTTACTAATTTATCTCGGTTACGTTCGGAGTTTTGTAAATTTAAAGTTCACGATTGGTTTCAGTTTTCCCTATTGATTTAATTTTAAACAAAGGGGAGGGGGTGAACATGCATCAAGTTGAATATTTAAAGAAAGTTAAACATTTAACCATTTTTTCTTGGTCATTTTTCTATGTATTTGATTGGACAGAAAACTTTATTTTTTTACACTTACAGCCAAATCTTAACTTGTTGCATTATTACTCCTCTTCTTTTTACCAAAAAAAAAAAGCAATATACCTGACTCCAAAATAAAAATAATTACTACACTCAACACTGTATTTATCAACTGAGCTTTACAGTGTAAATTTGTATGGTGAGGGAAATCTGGTTTTGCTACTGGATATATGAATTAATTGAAAGAACAATAAGGAGTTTATTGAAATTATTCAAATGGACAGTTTGTTTTTGACTGAATTGTTACAATAACAACTGTACTTAAGTTTAACATCATAACTGTTATGATGTTAAACTTAAGTACAGATGACATCTATCAGTGGGATTGACAACCTTCCAGGTCGGGGTCCTTTTCGGTCAAGACAATGAGTATGGAAGTTGATGAAACTTGAATGAAGGAAACTGTTGTTGAAGATGTCTGGCAAAAGGGTTCTAAGTAGAAGCTGGTGAAGAGACTTACTGTAAGTAGTTCATGGGGAAAATGTTGTTAGCTTTGGATTTCTTTTTATAATTGTCTACAGGATCTCAGAGCCAACTTTTCACAAGGAAAACTGATTGATTTTAAAAAAATATTTTTTCTGTATTAAGCTCAGATTAGCTATAGTGATGACCCTCTAGGATCCATAATAAAACTCTTCGTAATACAATTTATAACCTGAACACATAAAAATGTATGATTACAGAATTCAGTTATATTTTCTAGAATGTCTTCAAATGTTCATGATATTTTTTGTTTTGTTAGATCTATAAAGGATTGGATATTATTACAAATAAAGTAACTAAAGAAGAGAAAGAACAGTGTCCACACCATTTGATAGACTTTGTCAGCCCACTACATACAAAATATACAGTAATGGATTTTCAGTCAATGTGTATACCTCTTGTATCCTTTTATGAATATAACCAATATCTTTTCTTTCAATTCTTTTTATAATTTGCAACAAGTTTTCTGCATGAATGTAATTTCATTTTTTTTTGTTTTTGATATTTTTTTAATATGCAAATTTTGAATTCGTTGACATTTTCATACTATATTGCCACACATACTGTATTTTTCAGTGTTCTAATTGCTCAATTTTATGTCTCCCACATTTTCTACACAAACTGGATGTTGACTGTTTGACGACACAAAGCAAACTGCATAAATATGTCTTCTGTACATCAGTTCCAGGCATACATTCGCTCTAACCAAAACAAAATAATAATGTATTATGACCAGTCAGAGACACTCCTTCTAAAAAAAAAAAAAAAAATTTTAACTTCAAGCTAACTAAAAACTATGTATACCCAAATTCAAATTTGATGTGAACACCAACCGAGATAGAGAGATGCAACACAGACCAGTATTTGATGTCAACACCAGCACACTGAGAGAGAGATGTGACACAGATCATTTTGATGTCAATACCAACATACACAGAGAGAGAGAGAGAGAGAGATACTACTGATGAAGAACACCACCAAATTTCCATTTCACTTCTAATTTCACCACTCACTCTCCCTGTTACCTTAGCAACAGCAACAGATAAAAGTTACATTTATACATTTATCTACTCCTACTCAACATCCTCTTTTGTTTTATGCTTGGATTTATGTTTACTGAGACAGAGAAACAATTAACCTCCACAACAGTAACAACAAGGTTCTGTCTTCCAAGTTATCCATTTTCACCTCCACAACAATCTCAAGGATGCACCCCAATTTTGATTTGTAAAATTTTGAAAACAAAGAAAATACAATTAAAATAAAACAGTAACCTTCAACCTGTGTAAATTTTCAAGACTTATTTAAAAACAAAATAGTATCTGAAAAATAGAGTAAATTTCTTTGTTTCTTTGACTATTGTAATAAATGCATTTTCTGTGAATCATAGAATGGTTGTTTCTGTACTCCTATAATACAGAATATGATATAAAGTTTTCTTTGTGTGTGTGTTTTTTTATCTATGTTTGATGTAGAACTTGACACTTATTTTTATATGTTCTTTATGCAATTCCTCTAACAAATCAGAACTGCAGATATCAGAGAATTTTATGACTTTTAAAAACTGTTTTGAAGACAAGTGAATGCTTTTCCTTAACAGTTTAACACTAGATTGATAAACTGTTGAAGCAACAGAAACTTCCAATTATTGTTGGTGGAACAAATTATTATATTGAGGCACTTCTTTGGAAATTTCTCATCACACCAGAAGTTAGTAATACTTCTCTTTTTTGTACCTGTTAATTTTTCTGCAAAACTATATTTCTATCTTAACTTCCCATTGAATTTTCTGTGGTATTCTTATACAGGAGCTTCCCTATCTAGAAACCACATAAATTCCTGTTTTTTGTTCTAATCATTTCACCCCAAGCAAGCCACTAAGATGCAGGAGGGTTACTGACGGAGTGTGAAAGAATATAAGGAAAAAAAAAAACATTACTGAGGAGCAAGAACAATAAAAGAACAGGAATTAAGAAGATGATGATTGACATTGCTTTAAAATTTTTGAAGATCAAACAAGAAGCCAGCAGAGAGTTCTATAAGTGAGAAGTACAAGAAAAGAAACTCTTAGCATAGAACTTAGTTACATCTAACCATTTCAACAGTCAAATGATGCCACCAATCTAGTACTAAGCTTAAATTTATAGTCTGGCTGTGGGAAAGTAACTGAAGCTGAGATGCCAGGTCAGGACCATTGACATTGCAGATTCTTCTTTGGATTTTATCAAGGATCTCTAAATATATAGCCAGAGCACAAAACCAGATGTGGCAGCAATATTCAAAGCCTGGATGAATGTGCAAATTTTCAGAAGTATGTAATAATAAAAGTATTTATAACATTATTGTAATAGTAGTTCAGCACTCCTTTCCTTGTTTCTAATAAAATTTTCCCGTTTCTTGATACTTTGCTTAGCTTTTGAAATGTATATTTTTCTTTTCCAATGTACTTTCAGATTTCAGTGCCATGTTTTCCCATTGTCTGTTAAAACACTTTGCAGATATTTAAGTTTTTGTACTTTCTTGATATTGACATCTTCAATTTGTAGTTTGCATCTTCAGTTGTTCCTTTTGCTAACAACTGTACAATCTGTCTTCTTACAATTGATGGTTAGTCCTTTCATCCTACTTTCCTTTCAGTTGAGAAGATGCATTTCTTGTCTTACGCTTCTATTGACTTAACAAAGTTCCTGATTATAATATACAGAGTGCAGCAGAAATACCTCCCACATAATGGTAATACATTAATGTCTTACCATTATGTGGGAGGTATTTCTGGTGCACAGTGTCAAATGTAAACCATTTTCATTTGGCCTTTATGAAGTTATTTTTTCTCATGATATGTGTAGTTATTAATTTAGTAACCTGTAATGATGATATTAAATACATGACATTCATGAAAATTGTATAAAATTTCAAGTGGTACAAATATGTACCAATTGAAATTTATACAATTTTCTATTCAACTCATCTTTACCAAATTTATATTTGCATTATATTCCATATATTCTCTAGGAATATTTGTTTTGTTTTTTCCCTCTAGTAATAAATGACTTTTTGGAATTTATTTTCAAGGAGATAGGTCACATTAAAGAGAACAGTGATGATGAAGATTGTACAGCGCCAAACCCACCAAAAAAGATGCGTATTTCCAATACTAAAGATATTGCACAGGAGGAAAATTCAAAGAAAAATGGTAGGAGCTGTAAATTTTTGCACAATTTCTTTTACTTTTCTGATTTTAATCCATTATTTTCAGTGAATTTCCAAAGAGGCTAATGAATAGGTTTATGGTTTGTAATATTTTTTGTAAAAGATATAAATAAAACTTTATATATGGTGTGGCAGAAATACCTCCCACATTTTAAAGGTTGAAAAAAAAAATCCCAAGGTAACTGCTATTAAAAAAATTAATTTCACTTGTTTTACAAAAAACTACAGTTTTTATTCATTTGGTTTTAAAAATGCCATCTTCCAAATGGTTCCCTCTATTCAACATACACTATTGTAGTTCATTTCTAAAGCCTGGACATTTTCTGGAGTTCAGGGTCTTCCAAGTGGCTTTCTTTTAAATGTTGAACCTGTGACCCTGAAATTTTCAACCCATAGCAGTATCAATTTTATGTCCAGAACAGCATCATTCCGATGTAACATGTAATGAGTATGAAAAGCTTTGTGTTGTAATTACGGATTCACCAATGTTAAAAAACATTTCAACAGCAAATGCACAGTATGCATATATATATATACATATATATATATATATATATATATATATATATATATATATACACACACACATATATATATATATATATATACATACATACATATCTTACTTATTATAAAACGCAGATTGTGTGTGTGTGTCTGTAACGTTTATATATTGGATCGGAGTTCCTATATTTTTCAACCGATTTCAACAAAACTTCACAGGACTACATAAAATTACCGTGTGGTGGTTCTAACAGCACCAAAAATGGGAAAAATATAATTGTTTTTTGCACAAAATCAATTTGAAAACACGATTAAGAGACATCATTGAAAATGGAAGGGGACAACTCATTGGATTGTTTTTGTGTGTGGGTTCCTTTTAAATATGGGAACAGATTTCCTATATTTTTCAGCCGATAAAACAAAACTTCACTTTTTTTTTTTTTTTTTTTTTTTCTTTTTGGCAGGTAGTGTTTCTTATTGTCTTGCACACTTTTTTTTTCTTTATTTTTAACATTCAGAATGCTTTAAAAATTCCATTTACAAGACAATTATTTATAATAAAATTCTATTCAATCAGGAGACTCATAACAATTGAAAACAATGTTTTTGTTTGAGTTCGGGTTTGACCAATTCGTAAAAAAAAAAAAAATAAAACTAATTAAGACATGCATGTCCGTCAACCATAAACAATAATCTAACGATCTCTACTGATTGTACGAATACAAACATCGGATAAATTCTTTATCTTTAGGGAAAGATAATGAAATCTAAACATACACAAGTCCTAACTAAAAATAATAACCAGAACGGGAAACTACTTTAAATACACATGGTGTTAATTTTTTTACTGTATTCAATAAGTAAAAATCATAAATTGTAAAAGATTATTATTACACAAAGGCTAATAAATGAATAAGATTTGTTAGATCATAATTAATAAACCCAAATACAGTTAATATTTTTTGTATTAGAAACAATGAGTGGAAAATATATTCAAATCAGAATTCTAATTATGAATCACCACAAGCAAAATATGCAATTTTTTTTACTGTATTCAATAATTAAAAATCATAAATTGTAAAACTAAAAGATTACAGAAAGGCTACCTACATTTTTCAACCGATTTCAACAAAACTTCACTTTTTTTTTTGGCATGTAGTGTTTCTTATTGTCTTGCACACTTTTTTCTTTATTTTTACATTCAGAATGCTTTAAAAATTCCATTTACAAGACAATTGTTTATAATAAAATTCTATTCAATCGATAGAGACTCATAACAATTGAAAACAATGTTTTTGTTTGAGTTTGGGTTTGACCAATTCGTAAAAAAAAAAAAACTAATTAAGACATGCGTGTCCGTCAACCTTAAACAATAATCTTTGTCAATTTTATTTTCAGTCTTTATGATGGTGGATACTTGATCTATCTCTTACTGTTATATCCCGGGCAACACGGGCTCTACTGCTAGTATATATATATATATATATATATATACATATACATATATATATATATATATACATACATATATATATATATATATATATATATATATATATATATATATATATATATATATATATATATATATATATATATATATATATATATATATATATATATATATATATATATATATATATATATATATATATATATATATATATATATATATATATATACATATATATATATATATATATATATATATATATATATATATATATATATATATATATTTCAAAGGACGAATATTTTCTATGAAATTTCTCTAGGACATTCAGGCAGTAAATGTTATTTAATACTGTTTATTATAAACAGAGCATTTACTTAAATACTTGTATCTATAAAAAGAACGTTAAACATAAAAATGTCTTTAATAAATAAATGTAATTTTGTGTTTATAATCGGGCTATAATTATAACGTACGGAAGACCAACCAATTAAGTTGCGTTATTTGAATTAAGCATTGTTCTCCGCTGTTAAGGCCTTTATTTTTGCAAAACAAGCGTGGAGAAGTTAATTTGATTTTTCAATTTCAACTGAGAAGGGTACCTACAAGTATCAGTATCATCTTATGAAATTTATATGATCTTATTTTTATATTAATGTCAGTAATGACATTTTTCCATAAATGAAATATCAAAATTAATAATAAAATGAATGGAAATACAAATAACACAGTGAAATGTAGTAAATGTACATAAAATTATAGTATTTTATGTACACTTCTGATAAAATTTCATAAGAAAGGCACCTATAAATTAACTAGATACCTTTCTTATGAAATTTAATCTCACTCTTAACAGTCTTATTTTAATTTCTTTATAATATATTTTCCATAAAGCATCATAAATGTAAAGGTGAAAGTTAAGTACAAAAAACAAAAAAAAATGAGAGCGCTGAAAGTTTTCCTTAAAAATAACGAGGTAAATAATTTGTTCACTTAAATCTAAATAATTTCATTTTTTTCCTTCCGTAGAACAGATTATCCTCACGTAATCCATCAATATGTCATTCATCACCTGTCAAGTAACGTGAAAGGTTATGACCTGCTTTATTTTATTTTCAAATTACATCTTTTCGATGCAGAAGCTAAGCTAAGTTAAGCTTAGTTCAAAATATTTTAAATAAACATTATAATTTCTGATTTTCTTAAAATAAGTTTTTAAAAAAATGATAATTGATTTTTAAAAGAATTTCAAACAGATTTTCATTTTTTTTATAAAATGGAAAAAATGGTTGCCATGATCGATCATCAGTCAATTTTAATGACTCAAAAAAAAAACAAGATTTTTAACGAAAATTTCGGATGTTCTAGGAACGATTAAAAAATGTAAAAAAATACCCCAAAAATACTTTGATCTTTCCTCTTAATAATAACAAACATTTAGATGATAAAATTTTGTTTTCGTGAAGTTTGCCGTCTTTTTCATCATGCTATGCTCTTTTTTTAGCGATCTCATGGAGGTACCTAAGTTAAGTGTTATTTTCCTACATATCCTCATAAACTGCACTTCTTATCTCCTCCTTAAGTGCATCAACTTCAATCGGTAACCCTCTACCTTGAGTGGCTCATGGACCTTCTATTGGATGAACAATAATTAAAGAAAAAGGAGAAAGTCACTTTAATTGTAGTGCCTGTTTTCCACCGAGCATTAGTCACAATAACTTTGACTTAACTTACCAAACAATATAAACATTACTCAATTGCTAATATTTATTGTACATCAGATATCTGAGGTGGTGACATTATAATAGCGATGTGAATAGTCTTTATTCAACTGACAGTAGTTAACTCTAACTAGATATTATTTTAATAAGTTACTCAATCAGCACTTTCCAGCCTTTATCAAGGCTGGAAAGTGCTGATTAAAATCATTTACCCAGTCTTGTAAAGGGATGACTTATTTTCCACTCTACAGCCTCTTTCCCCACAGATGTAAAGTTGCAAGCCTATCGCTACTCTATTGCTATTTCCATGACAAGTGTTCAGATGAACTCCACTCTTTAATTTCACTGGTTCAGACATTTATAGTTAGCACTTGCCATGCTATGTCACACACATTTCACCCATGTCCCATTTGTAAGGAAGAAGTGCCGCTGAGACAGGTTTTGTGCCTGAAAACTGCTACTTTGTGAAACAAACTCCCACGTGGATATTTCCCTGAGCACTACAATCTTAACCTGTTCAAGTCAAGGGTCAATTGTTATCTATCCTCCTTATCTTCATAATCTTCACTGCCTCTTACAGTCATATCACACAATACATTCAGTAATCCTCTGCCATGAGTGGTTATTCAGCTTTGTATTAAGTGAACTTTAATATAATGTAGGATTATAAAATTTTATTAGGGTCTTTTAAGACCCTAATAAAATTTTAAAATATATATATAATATATAAATATAAATATATATATATATAAAATATATATAAATATATACAAAAATATATAAAACAAAGGAGGAGGAAGAGCAAAGATAAGAAAAAAAATTGACTCACCATAAAACTGTGGATCGAAAAATATAACAACAATAAAAGAAAATAACAAAAAATGCTAAGTGGTTATTGCTCCTTGCTCTTCAGAGCTCAATTGAGGACAAACACATAAATATGTACATATTGACTGAAAAAGGAGGGAAAAAATACTAGCAGTAGTACAAATCACAGATTACATTTTGAACCAGAAGCCATTGCTAACACAGAAGGAAGGTATTTAATATAAATAAATAAAAAAAGTCTTTCATAAAAATTTATTTTAATGTAGCTCTTAATTTCCTTCTTGACCTGTATTTATGAAAAAAAAAAAAGTTTCCCAAAAAAAAAAAACATGCTGGTGGTACATCATGCAAATCACTCAACAAATTTTATTGTAGAACAAAATGAATATGTATATCAGGAGCTCAGTAAGGATTTTTTTTTTTTTTTTTTTTTGTAGCAGATTCAGTAAAAAATAGAGAACTTGCAGATATCAGAAACTGGGGCTATGAAGTTGATGCCCAAAACCTTCATGACCAGCTCAAGGAGGTGGATCCAGTCAGTGCTCAGAAAATCCATCCTCATGACCAGCGTAAAATAATGAGGTTTGTATTTTGGAATTATACACACACACACACACACACAAATATTGATCCCAATTCACCATTGTCTCAGAATTATTCCAAAAACCAACTTTAATTATTTTGAAAAAAAATCTTAATAATCCTGAAATCAAAATATTGTTTTTAAACTATGTTATCATTTATAATTGTTAATAGCTTAATAAAAACACCATTATACTGTCAAGGAAATAAAAAAAGTCTGAAATATTGAATTTTTAAAAATGAACAAATACAGAAATAAATTAGTTAAATTTTACTGCAGTTTTTATTTAAACCTGTTTAAATCACCTTGAATAATTTTACATGAAAATGTTCTTATTAATTAATTTTCATACTCAGCGTAACTCTCATCATATTTAAATTTAAGAATGCATTCATTTTCTATATGAAGAATATTAGTGCATTCCAACATAAGTCTTTATCAGAAAACCGCCATTTACACATATCTGCCTCACATCATGACAAAATTTTTCCAAATATATTTAAATTCTTCTATATATTTTCAACTTAGTTTATGATTAGCACAAAACCTTAGCACATAAATGTTTATTAATGATTCCTTCAATTCAATTGTTTTTAACTAAAAATTGACAGAAAAAAATATATAATTATTTTTGCTTTGTTTATTAAAGCAAAATTAGTTCTTTCAAGTAAATCCAAATGTTTTTCACACTTAGAGATAAATAATACAAATATGTAAATTTAACTCCTTCAACCTTCATTTGAGTTTCATTCACCAGGTTAAAAAGAAATGCATAAGTTTTGTTTATTTTTTGGTTTGTTTATATGTGTGCTCCAATTATTAAAAGTTTGCCACTATTGGTGAGAAGTAAAAATTTTACTTAAGAAATTTGTTGCTTTTAAAATAAATATAATAGAATTTTGCATAATACCAGCATCGTCCCAAAAACCTAATCAGTCACCCCAAATTAATGTCTATTGTCCCCAGAACTATGGGATGTTAATCTTGACATTCTACATTTAATATTAAAGTATTATTGATTTAGGTTAGGTACAAGTACTGGTAGTCTGCAGCATCCAGTTAAATATTAATCTACAAGATACCTATATTTTGCATTTAAACTTAGGAGATATTTTTGAGCAATTATTTTTTTTTTTTTTTTTTTAAGGGGACTTATTGTTATGGTCCGGTTTCTTGTACCACGATGATGGTCCAAGATAGAACCAATAAAGAAAAATCGAACACGGATATGGAATAACACAGAGATATTACAAACAGGAATATATACAGAGAAGTAGAAAGTGTTAGTACGAACAATCAGGTTTAGTAGGGAGAACAATGTAGTCTCGACTAGTATCACTATTCCAATGTCTTGTAGTAATTGTCTGAACGCGACTCTGTTTTGGACTGCCTCTGACTCAACTGACTGACTCGCTCGCTCTGACTGACTGACAGATTTTTGACGAACCTCACTCCAGACTTAGTCACCCCCCAACGAGGGCATCATGTGGCACAAGGCCGGTTTAACGTGGGATCTCCAAGCCCATGGGCTTGGCCAAAAATATGCCCTTTGAACCCGTATAAACGGGTTCAGGGTCAGTTTACCTCCCCGAAAGAGACTCCACCCTTCGGCATAGCCTTGTTCGGTTTCCTCCCCACCCGAAGGCAGAGAGTTCAGCCGGTCGCCCGACTTCAGACTGAACTCCCTGCTTCCTCTTGAGACGCAATATTTATTATGTAAGGAATAGTCCATTATGTTATTATGGGTAAGGTCCCATAACACTTATATACCTTCAAAATATGATAATTAGTCAGTATTAGTTTATATTATGTAATAACATGTTTCTTAAAAAAGATTTTTTTACTTCTACTCATATAGCAAAACAAACTCAGTCTGATGTAACCAGAAAATTTTCATATCTACTCGGGTGGATCAATAAGTCTATACCCCAAGATGTAGTTATTATCTGAATTTTGAAATTTTCACCAAATTAATATTCAGTCTAAATAATGGAAAAAAGTTAGATTAAGTGCATTTACATGAATGAATATAATGGAAATAAGTATTTTTTGTGCAAATTAAATACTTTTTTTCTTTTTATTTAATTTATTTGGTTATAGACTTGCTGGTGTACCTAATATATATATAATATATATATATATATATATATATATAGGGAAGAAGTTATAGTAGTTCCAACAAGAGAAAAGTGTGTATATTAAAAAGAAGAGAGAAACCACTAACGTTTTTGATTGTAATGTGGATTTTTAAAAAAAATATTATGCTTCATTTTCCATAATTTTGTGTTTGCAGTTTCTCTCTTCTTTTTAAGAGATATATATATATATATGGTGTACATGTCTTTGTTTTTCATTGTATCTATGTAACAATTTTATTCATTATTATTCAAAATCTAATACATAAATTCTAAGAATAAAATAGTAGAAAGTATTAATCCATTGAAATGAAAATTTTGTATTGTTTGTATCTGTTATATTTTAATTCCTTTGTAACAGAGCCTTGGAAGTTTTTGGTAAATATGGCATCCCTATGAGTCAAATTCTTAGTGAACAACATGAAGAAGTTGGTATGGCAGCTATAAGTGGTCCATTACGCTATCCTAACAGTTGTATATTCTGGGTGCAATGTGATCAAGAAGGTAGTTAGCTTTTTTTTTGTGTTAACAACTACAAAATGCATTTTCATTAAGTAAGAAGTTAATACTGTTTTCTTGAATAAAATCACTGTTGTTTTTGGTAATGTTTGAGCTCTGTGCCTGCTAAAAAATGGTTTGTCAAAAGGATGGCCATTCCCTTGAAATGGCTATTACTGTTTACACTTTTGACTCCCTTGCAAATGTTTATTGTTTTAAAAAGCTATGATTAGAATTTTAATAAAACCCAAACATATGAAAGTAGATTTATACACTGTTTTTATTTTTGAGAATTGACAGCAATCATTCATTGATACTATGAAAAATCTTTTCATGGTTATTTATAAAATGGTAAATAATAAATATTGCATTGTAGTTGGTTTATATATTTTGATAGTTTTGTAATTTTTTATAATTTTTTGAACAAGATTTCTTTTCAAATTTATTTCTTTATAAAATGGTAAATAATAAATCTGCATAAAAGATAAATAATAAAATATTGCATTGTTCACATATTTTTATAAAGTATAAATAAACATTGCTGAGGGAGTCAAAAGTACATACAGTAATAGCAGTGTCAAGGGAATAACCATCCTTTTAACACACTGTTTTTTTTGCGGGGTGTTGCAAATACAAAGGTTAAACATTGCTGCTGTTTTTCAAGTTAAGAATGATTGTGGGTTTTATGAAAAGCTTTAAATAACTTAACAATGTAAACATTAATTTAAATTGGAAAGTTCTTTTTGTTTGTAGACTGTTGTAGCATACCTGCGGACGATAATGGGTATGTCCCCATTCACATAAATACAGTAGTAAATACTGTATGTTGACCTGCAATTGGACATTCATTGTGGAATTCACTTGACTCACTTCTAGCAGTTGACTACTTCTTCTACGCACTTCTGGTGAATCTTATATGTGTTGTTCTTGTCCTAAGTGTATATTGTTCATTACCAACCTTCGTTTAATTATACTATTCAGTAACCTTCCCTAGGTTACAACAATATTTCTTAAGAAACACCAAGTCCATTCAAGGTTGCTTTTACATGTCTTTCTCTTTCATTTTGGCTCAAAGTATCTGATGAAGACACTAGTTAAAATAATGACATAGCTTTATTTTAGAATATGTGGCAAGTTATTTGGATAGATATACAAAACCCTCACAAGATCTTGTCAGAAAAAGAAGATTACTTTGAGAAATGATTTCTAAACACTTAAAACCATTTAACTTTCTTAACCTGATATTCAAACATTTTGTTCTTACTTCCATTAATTTGATGCAAACTATAGAAAAAAAAATTTCAGAATGATGTGATAAAACAATTTTTCCAGGCAGTAATATAAGTTACTGCGCTTTCTTCATGTTCCTGCATTCTGGATCAAAATTGGTTTCTTTTAGTTTCAAAATGTTCATTTAAAAGAGCCAGGGTTTCCTCATAAGTCTCATTTCCATCATCCAACATTTTTGAATATTCTTTAGTTCAAACCCACCATGATAAAAGAAGAAATGCTCTTTTTAGTTTTGCTTCTCTTATATTCGTTGCCATGAAATATATTCACATTGTTTCTATTCACTTCTACCAAATTGTCTGGTGCTTAGTAACTGGAATCCTGATCCAATTGTGCAAGAGTTGGTACTGTAATCTCATGCATCATCACTATTTTTGTATTTCTTACTCCCTCCTCTTCTCAAGAGCAAATAACATCCTTTTATACACCACAACAATTCTATCAGATGATATCATTAAATATACTACACAATAATAATTAGATGAGGTATCCATCAGTTTCAGGAGACTATGGAATTGTGTCAAAGATGAGGTTTCAGGCACAACATCTACATTCACACCTCTCCAGTACACAAGGGCTGGGTAGGTAGATATGGAGGAAATCCTATCTCCTTCTCCATGTTGTTGAAATGTTCCAATTGAACAGTAAATGCCAACACACATAGTTACAGCACAGGAGTTATTACCATATTGCTGAATGCAATCATGAATTGGCTTAAGGATTCTAATTACAGATTTTCCTTCAGAGTTGACATCTAAAGACTTCTTTTTCTATTTGTAGGCATAGCTGCAAGGCAATGAAGTTTTTAAATCAGTATTTTCCTCTGCTTACAATAATAATAATAATAATCAGATTCAAATAAGAGACATTCATTAACATGAAAGCTTGGAATACTGCTTGCAAAAAGCAATGATCAAAAGTTTTTTTATTTGTATTTAGTCTCAAAACACACTATTAAGAGAATGGAAACTATAAATTTCTTTAAAAAAGATAAATTGATTAGCCACATAGTGCAACCTACTTTCATAAGAATTTGTTCTTAAAATTTTGCTTACAGAGATTACCATATCAACCTGTTAAGAAAATAAGTGAAATTTGAAATGTTTATAAGCAAAACAAGTTGTTACAAAAAAGTTTTGGAAACTTAAAACACAAAATGGCTTTCTTGATAAAAGAAAAAATATTGATAGAAAATATAGGCTCTTTATTTTCTATTGGAATGATTTTGAGAGGGTTGTGAAATGTTTGGCAAAACATAGGGAAATCCTGGCTAATTTGACATGAAGTGATTGATTAGTCTCTTTAATTTCTTTGTACTTTTTATATAGGTTTATAAAAAAAATCTGATATAAAAGATTTTTAAAAACAATCTGGTTTTAATTATAGATTTCTCAACTTATGCTGATGATACAACCATCAATTGGCAGTTGATCTAAAAAATGACTTACTGTCTGTTGTTAACTGGGGCAAGGAATGGCTTGTTAATTTTAATGCCTTCAAAACAAAACTTCTCTCTATCAATCACCTGTAAGTCTCCTTCTTGCATCGCATCAGCATAGCTGATACTAATGTCCATGAGTGTGGCGTTGCGCATTCTCAGCTAACATGAAGTGAAAAAAATTTTATTGAATTCATTACTAGGTCTGCTGCTAAGAAAGTTGATCCACTGTGTCATGTTAGATAATTTTTCTTCCCAAATTTATCTTACATATTTATAAGTCTACTATTCATCCATGATTTGAATATTGCTGCCACATATGGTCTGGTGCTCCTGCTGCCTATTTAGAGATTCTTGATATAAGATCCAAAGAAGAATCTGCAATATTATTGGTCCTGACCTGGTGTCTTGGCTTCAGTCAATTTCTCATCGCCATAGTGTAACTTCCCTGTGCCTTTTCTATAAATACTTTAATGGTAAATTTCTTTTTTTGTACAATTCTCAATTTTAACTTATTTATCTAACTGATCTATTTTATCTTTTTTATTATCATTATTTTACTTTTTATTTATTTTTTTTCTTACTTGTTGCTTAAATATTGGTAGGGGTATATTGCATATTAACTGTTATTTTAATATTTTAGCATCTAGAATAAAGGCACAACATTGTAATGTTCAAGAGGGGTCTATGTTTCGATAGTTTCCACCCCCCATTGCATTATTTATTGTTCAATAGAAGTCTTTTGACTTCCATTTTATCTCTTTTTCCCTTTTCTGTCACTAATTACTGGACTATATGTGAATTATAATTAATTGTGACTAATTCTTGTTAAACAACTTAATTAGCAATAATGTTCACCCCTCTTTCCGTCATTTTTTTTCTTTGGTAACTATCAAAAAATGAAATTTAATTTTATTTGTTAATCTCACACGTTAATTTTACCATGTTAATCGATAGATTTAATCAAATTTTCTAAGTTCAGCTTGATTTAAATGACATTTATATATTTATTTTCGTTTTAACATGATGCATAAGTCATAATTTATTTATTTTAATCATAAAAACGGTGTAAATTTCTAATTATTTTATGCTTGCATTTTTTATTTTTATTTTTTTTAATTTTATTTTATTTTTTAACTAACAGTAATTATCAGCTAGGGAAGTTGAGGGAGGATGAAAAAAAAAAGTAAAAAAAGAAAAAACAAAATACATAATTACTGATATAATGGAATATGCATACACCTGTGTTCCCTCTCACTGGAATGTGATTGGCTGGTGTCTGTCATAAATACCAACGGACGGGTAGGTACGAGAGTCAAAAGCCTTAGTCTGAAAGCTAAGCCTATAACAATGCCCATTGGAGTACGCCATTGATCTACACTTCTTACCTGCGACTTCAACATGTACCAGTCGATTACTGTTACCGTATTCTACTTAGTTATAGTAGCCAAAACCACTTAGCTACTTCATTCAAATATGTCCTGGAAAGGGACATATCAATTACCTTCCAAGTATCTGCAAAAAAAAAGAAAAAGTAAAAATCCCCTGTAAACAACTTAAATAGAGCTCAGACTATTGCAATTGGCTGTTGGTCAACTTCCAATCAATTGTGTGAAAAATGTTATGGTTTGCCTAATATAAGTCAGTGTCTGCAGGCTGTTAATTTAGATGGTGGGACACATCAGAGACTGATCAGCTCTGATAGAGTCAACTTGGTGAGGGTAGTATGATGTTTAAAAGACCCAAAACTGCCCAATGACCCAATTCAGAACATCACTGATGATGCCCTCTAGCACTAAAGATCATATATTCAAAGTAATAGTAACTGTTCAGATTAACTCTTTGCTCTGAATTTAAATGCAGTACTAGATTGGCAACAAGGTCTCATCAATTTACAATTGAATTGGCTAGATGTAACTGTGAGTTCTATGCTAACAGTTTCTTATCTTGCTTGTGGAACTACCTTCCAGCTCCATGATTTCTAGCCAATTTTGATTTTCAAAAATTTAAATGTCAATCCTTATCTAATGTCTTCTCCATTCCTCTTCTTCTGTTGTTCTTGTTTCTTAATAAAGTTTCTCTTCTTTTTTTTTATTCTTTCACACTCACTCATCCCTTGCATCTTAGTGGCTTTACTGCGTTGCATAGCTAATATGATTAAAAGAAAAAAGAAACATTAATGCCTATCATCCTATTTTGGGGACAATGGAAAATAATGAGTTAAATGAGATATGCAGTAAGAAATGTATGCATCAATTTATCACTATTTCCAGATTAAGAATTTAAAATGACTATTTGATGGTGCATGAGACCCACTCCTCTTTTTCCCCAAAATAGAAATTTATGCATCAATTTATCACAATTTCCAGATTAAGAATTTAAAATGAGTATTTGATGGTGTATAAGACCCACCCCTCTTTTTCCCCAAAATAGAAATGTATGCATCAATTTATCACTATTTCCAGATTAAGAATTTAAAATGACTATTTGATGGTGCATAAGAGGCACTCCTCTTTTTCCCCAAAATAGAAATTTATGCATCAATTTTATCACTATTTCCAGATTAAGAATTTAAAATGACTATTTGATGGTGCATAAGAGGCACTCCTCTTTTTCCATAAAATAGTTAAAAAAAAAACAAAAAACAAATACCCTATGTGACTAACACAAGGTTAACCTAACTCTGTAACAGTTAAAATAAATGCAAACTGCCTAACTCATAAACTGAATCATACTCCTTGAACTTTAGTTTTAAACATGTGATCAGGTTTTCTTTTATATGCTGTGTCCCTTCAGAATGTTGGCAATTATGGTTGCCCACATTTTCCTGTCCTTTGGAAATCTTAATAAATTTTGTCTTTTTGTTATCTCCTAAACCTTGTTTTGCCATCAAGCCTGCTTAGCTAGGTTATGCATTGTTTTTCTCTTTCTCTCTTGCCTTCAAACTGTCCTCTGAGTATCAAATTTTCCAAACCCTCTTTCCTTATTATGCAGACCAAGAAATTTCAAGTTTCTCTTCCTGATGTTAAGTATAAGTGTCCTTTTTATTTCCATTTTCTCTCAAACTTCCTTGTTGCTCACATGTTCTGTCTATGGTATTTTCAGCATCCATCTATAGAACCACATTTCTTGCTTCAAGTCTTTTCATCTGTAAGGAGATTGTCCAGTATTCACTTCCTTCAAGAGACTGAAATTTCTTTGTTTTTGTGAAACCTCATATATTCTTGTGAATGATATGTTCTAAACTGGAATTATAATAAAGATGTAGAAAAGGCTTAAGCAACTTAATGCAACTTATTCTCACTTTTCGGCATTGAATTTGCTGTTTCTTAAAAAAAATTGCAGAAGTGATTTAAAGTTTCAGTTAAATTTTAACCATAATATATAAAGTTATTTTTATTTTTATAAACCTGCAAATGGCACTGTAACAATGTTGACAAGAACTCAAGCCCAAATGTAAATCTAAAAGCACAACAAACTTTTACTCAACTATGAGAAAAGGCTCTCACAAAAGCAAGCATAAATAATAAATGCAAACTGTACTAAAAAGAAGGATACTTGTTAACTATCCTTTCAAACAGGCTAGAAATATCTGTTGTTATTATAAATCAAATGCTCTTTCTGACCATCAGTGCTTTATTCACCTTCTCTTTTCATTGGATGTTTTTTTTCAACAGCCTGGCCAGCAATTTGTCCATTTATATATCCAATGTCATCCACACCACACCTTCCTTCTAGTTTATGGTGTTTGTTATTTTTGGGCTTGCAGCCACATCACATTAAAACACCAGTTACCATATGCTCACCAGTTAAGCAACATTTAGCCCAGTCAGTACTTAGATGGGTGATTGTTTGGAAAGTCTGACTGCTTTTGTGTCAAGCCACTTGAACATGCCACCACATTTCTAGATTTGTTATGTAGGGATATAAAAGGTGATTATCTCTCTTAGGTCAAGATAAGTCATGTGGGTTACATGATGGCTGCTTAGTGACATCACTTCATACAGTGATAAAAGTGGTTAATCTTTCTTTTGGTTTACAGTAGTCAAACAAAGCAGTTGTTTGTTTGCCTTAGGCATCTTGGCCGGAACTGAGGCTAAATCTGCTTCCCTCAGCAGTTTACAAGTCCATGGTGCAATTTCCCTTTGGGAATATATCTTCCCTCAATATAGAAAGAAACCAGCTTGCAGTCCTCAATTTGGGAAAACCCAAGAATCGCCATTTCCTGTTCATGGAATATGTCCTTGTCTGGGGCATAGAGGAATCTGACCCATCTGGAGTCCCAAACATGACTTCTCCAGAAATGCAGAATAATCTCCATAATATATGTAAGACCCTATCTTTTAGTTCTCTTTTCTCCGTGTTTGCTTGCTGTGCAGATATGTGCTATATTTTTCTCACCATGGGACACATGTAAATATATATATATAGTTTTGTGTATGTCTTAGTGGTATAAAAGTCTCTCTGAGAACAAGGCCTGTTTTCCTTTCAGCCATTCCATTCCATCTGTGAAGTATGGTGTTATTTTATCATGGATATAATAATGCTCATAATGGGGGAAACAAAATGGGAGTATAAACTTTTCTTCCATAACTCTCTCCTATTACAATTATATAAAGTTTTATAGACTTTTATATCTTAAAATTATATTTTTACTACTATTCTCAAATACAAATTTTCTTTGTTTTGTGTATCTATAGACAGCATTTTCTGTCAATGCTGAATTTACTCTATATTGTTTTATTTTCATAGAATTAAAATTAGTTTAATTTAATCTTTTTTCCAAAGATTCATTATAAAGCTCAAATTGTTTTTCTTCTTTCAGTTTTAAACAAGCGTCTTGATGACCGGGTTGACAAGATGATAGAGCAAGGGTTAATTTCAGAATTATTGGAATTTCACAAAAATTTCAATGAATCAAGAATTAGAGAAGGAAAGTAAGTTTATAAATCATTGTGGAAGCTGTTTGATTTTACATCAATTACATTCTTTTGTATTTTTCCTGATTTTAACCAATTGAAAGTGGTTAGCAAAATATTGACCAAGAAATTACTTTTTTTTATTTTTTTTTATTTTCTTACTCTGGCCTGGGCAAACTGAATTCTCAAATACAGGGGCATCTGTTATCTCAAAAAATAGAGCCAATGTAGTAAAACAAGTGCCATCTTTTCAACTACTGTTCCAAACTTGCCCTACAAACATTCTAATATTGTTGGCAATGAAATTGGTCTGTTGGCTGGTGTTGTATTTAATTTAAATCTCTAGATAGCATGGTCACAAAAGATTTCAAGAACCTACATTTTGTGGAAATCTAGATTTTTGCTAAATTTTTTTTTTTTTGTTTCTAGTTATAAAATTTTCACTTAGAGGTCTGGTTTTACAGTTAAACGTGATAAGTGTGGTTGGTTGTTTTTGTTTATCAGGTTTATGTGTTATTTAATGTTGAAATCTAAATATTTTGTATGCAATTTTATTTTTGGGGAGATAATAATGGTTTAAGTGATACAAATCTTATTAATTAACCCATAGTTGGGATAGAAGAGGTGGATTCATACATTTCCCAAAGGTATTTACATGTAAGTGAATATAACAAACCCAACTGGAATTGGAACTCATCTCTCTGATTAACAAGTCATTATCCATTACACCACCTGCACATCCAAGCTTACAGCATCTGGTATTCCCAAGCAGTCACCTATCTAGGCACTGACCAGGCTCGACATTGCTTAACTTCAAGTGATTGTATGGGAACTGGTGTTTTAATATGATGTGGACATAAGCACCAATGTGATAAAGATTTGGTTTAGATAACCTAACACAGAAAGTTTGGGTTGAGTTTAGCATTAAGCTTTGATTTTAAGTTGAACCCTTGATAACAATTTTAAAAGTTTTGGAATATAAAAATACTAACATGCTAAAAGCATGCTCTATGATGATTTATAGGAAGACATTGCTGTCATTTTTATTTTTTTTTGTTTTTTTGACAGTATGACTATGAGTAATCTGGTATTGTCATAACAGCTTAATTTTTCAAGATGATCTTTATTTCAACCCAGTAAAATTCAGTTTTGAAAAGATTAAGCATTTTCGCTCATTAAAATTGTGAGAAATAACATCTTTATTTTGTTAGTTAGAATATCTAAATCAGTATTTTTTAAATTATTATCTAATAACTTATCATCCTCTCACCTTTTGATCAAGTAACAGAAGATTATGAACCTAATTTAAGAATCAGAAAAGTAAATTTTGTATTAAGTTAAGAGATTTTGCCTTTGTGCTCCTCTAATATTTGAAAAATAGACATGTTCCTAAAAAAACAATTCACTTGGATAAAGCGCTGCATTCAACTAGGTGATAAGAATTTGGTTTGGTCTTATTCTCTCAGAATATAAAAAATATTCTTGATCAGAAACTCACTCTCCATTCCCCTCATTATGACAGTTTCAGTATGTCTGTCCAACAGACATCATCTTTACACTTAAGCTTATTTTTTTTAACACATTCACTGCTGCATTGTTATAACATTGTTACCTGGATGTGCTGACCCATTTGGAAAAAAATAGGAAATTGTAATTTGCTGGAAATAAATGACTATAATGATGCTGGTGCCTTTTCTCATAGGCACCACCATTTTGTTTTCAATAGAATACTCTCCATTACAAACTAAGATAAAAGACACCCTTAACACATGATATAATAAAAATACTTCACAAACAGGTTCTATTATATGCTATTATATCTATGTTGGTTTGGAAATATCACTAAATGTTAGTTTATGACATAAATGCCTTAGATTGACATTTCAGTATTAAAAACGTCTACAGGGTGTGATAGGTAAATTGTCATCATTTTATATTTTTAATTTTATGCATGTGCATTGTTTGTTTTTGATTTTGTTGACTGCTCAGTTGAGCACCATATGTGAGAAAAAAGAGCACCATAACACAATTCACTCCACCAGAAATTTGGAAATGACATGCTGTACTGCTTGGCATTTGTATCAGAAGCTCCAATATGAACATTTCAGAATGTTTGGGTGTCAATTTGAGGACAGTGCAGAGGATTTGGAAAGAGTTGCATGAGTTTAATGGTGATTATGAAGGTACAGCAGTTTGGAAAACTTATGCTGATCATTCTGACAAGAAAAAAAACTCCAATTTGTTTGTGACATAGATGCCTACATCAAGTGCCTTGAGATAATGCTGCCCTGGGTCAAGAGGGTAGCTACTGGAAAATCCTATGTCTGGCAACAGGACTCTGCACTATGCCACACAAGCAGGAGAACCCAGTCATGGCTGTCAGACAATTTCTGCAACCACATCACTCTTATACCTGGCCACCTGACTCTCCAAACTGCAACCTCCTTGATTATTATGTGTGGGGTGCAGTTGAGTGAAATACCAACAAAACTCTTTGTAATACCATAGATGAACTGAAGGCAAGGACTATGGCAGCATTCACCAACTTAAACAAAGAGACTGTTCAGAAGAGTTGCAGGAGATTCTGAAGTCATCTGGTGGCCATGGTTGAATCCAATAGTGATTTTATTGAATAAATTTACTCTTTAGTATTTCAAGATATTTTTGTGTAATTTTGGTAAATATATCTGTTAAAATGAGATGTCACTGTTATTTTCATTTTTTGCATAACTGTGATGACAATTTATCCATCACACCCTGTTTATATGTCAACAGCAGGCAATGTAACTTTCATAAAGTCATATAAGTACATCTTGAAAATGTGTGTATATATATATATATATATATATATATATATATATATATATATATATATATATATATATATGTGTGTCAACAGCAGGCAATACAAGTTTCATAAAGGTATATAGATATGTCCATGGCAGTGTTAAAATTATTACTTTTACTTTAAATTCTGAGCTTAAGTCTTAAATATTACTTGTTTGTGTAATCTGTGGTATCAAAGTTTGAACTTATTAAAGAAATTTCTTAAAACTGATTTACTCTAATAATCATGTGGGGTGCAATCCAAAAGTTAAAGGAACTAAAAAAAACAAAATGGCTTCCACAAATTAAGAAAAAAAATGATTGAAAATTAAGTTGTTTATTTCCAGATGGATTTTGAGAGACATGCAAAATGTCTGACAAGGCAGAGGAAATAATGGATAACCTGATAAATGAACAGATTGATCAGTCTGTTCCAATTCCCTCAACTTTTGGGTAGAAAAAAATTTTGGCAGTGGTGAAAGAAAAAGAAAGCAATAATTATGATTGTATTTTCGCATTATTTGCATTTGAATCTGATATACTTTTCTTATTGCTACCCACTGATCACTACCCCACCACTTTCTTATTTTAGTCTTATTTCTAGTAGTTGAGAAAATAATTGAATCTTTTACAGTTTTTAAGTTTAAATTTGTTTTCACAAATTCTAGCACTCACTTTGCATATTGTACATTGAAAATGAGGAATAAAGGGATTGTTAATGGTCATAAATTAAGGCAAGAGTAAGTTATACAATATAGCTATTATAAGTATAATGATTCTTGAATTAATTTACTTTGTTAGCTAACTGCATAATTTACTTTGTTAGCTATTATGTCAGACAAAAATTTAGTAGTTTTAAATTGATAATAATGATAATAAACTGTTAGATATCTTTTATCAAGTGAATTAATTTTGATTTAATTTTTATACATTATTTTTTCTTTCCTGTACAGAGAAGCTGACTACACATTGGGAATATTTCAAAGTATTGGATTCAAAGAATTTCACAGTTATTTGATTTTACCTGAAGAAGAAAGGAAAACAAATGAAGGAAAAAAACTTTTTGAAGAATGTTAGTTACTCTTGTATATATTTTTTCTTACGATAGACGTTGTTTTGTGGATATACATATTTTGAGTAGATGTCACTGCTTGTTTATTTTTAACGGTGTAATTGACATCTACCGACCTGAACATTTGAGAGTCTTAAACAACCTGTGTCTTTCAGCAGATTTTGAACTTGTGTTCCTTCTTATATTGGAGAAACTACTTTTAAGCTAGGTGTGCTTTAGACCACTCAGCCATGAAAGACTTCCCTGAAAATCAAGGCTCACTTACCGTTTTTAAGTAATGCATATCTCTCATTTGGATTGTATATATACAATGTGCGGCAGAAATACTTCCCACATTTTAAAGGCTGACCAAAAAGACTACGGTAATGCTATTAAAAAATTTATTTCATTATTGTTTAAGCAAAGGGATACATTTTTTATTCGTTTGGCTTTAAAAATGGCATCCTTCAAATGATGGTCTCTATTCACCATACACTTGTAGATGATTTTCTAAAGCCTAGACATTTTTGGGAGTTCAAGTGCTTTGAGGTCTTCCAGGTGACTTTCTTTTAAATGTTTAACCTGTAGCCCTGAAATTTTCACCCCCATAATAGTATTGATTTTATAACTGAAACCACATCATTTTCACCCCACAGCATTATCGATTTTATGTCCGGAATAGCAGCCATCCAATGTAACATGAAATGAGTATGAAAAGCTCTTGGTGCTGCAATCACAGTTTCACCAGTCTTAACAAATGTTTCAATGCATGGTGTGCACCAATCCAAGCCATGATGGTATCTGATAAAAAATGGTAAGACATTAGCTAGATGACACCATTGCCACTTGTCACAGGTGACAGTTTAAAATGTGGGAAGTATTTCTGCCACATCCTGTATATGTATACCATATATACTCACATATCATGCAACCATTGAAGACCTAATTTTGAAGCTAATTTGGCTACAGTAAATGGATATATAGTTTGGTCAACAGCATGGCCAGGGCCAGAAGTACATAGGCTAATTTTATATCTTGTGTATGATGTGACCCCCTTAAAATTAGCTTCAAAATTAGGTCTTCAAAAGTCACATGATAGATGAGTATATACAGTACTTATTAAATTTACTTAGGTCTTCATTAACCTAATTTGACACCATCTCTTCCTTTTGATTTTAAATAACAGATAATTAGTGTTAATATCAGTATATTATGTTTGATGGAGAATTATTTTATTTCTGCTGTTGTATAAAACAAGTGCTTTTTTTTTCTAGTATTAACTGAAAAAAAAGCATTTGTTTTACACAACAAATATTTATTTTTCGTTATAATCTCCTTCCTTGTTAATGCACTTAATTCAGTGGCAAATATTTATCACATAGACTGAAATTATAGGATTAAAATTTCAGATTAAAATTTAACAAATAATTACCTGTCAAGATATGGACTTGCTGATTCAGTCTCATATGTAAAACTTACATTTCACAGAAAAAAAAATAATACTTAAACAGAGAGAGTGTTAAAAATAAAAAGATGGCTAACCTCTGAGAGGTTTTATATATTTATGCTTGCTTTGTGAGACACTTTTTAGTTAATAACCCATTTCTTTTCTCTTCTCCCCCTTTATTTTAATATATTTCTATATACAGTGGAAAAGATTTTTGTGTAGTGTTTTTGTCCTTTAAGACTTTATTGAACTAAAGTAATGTTTTGTTTTTGTTGATGGGATTATACAGTGTGTGGCAGCAATGCCTCCCACATACCTCCTACATAATGCTAAGACATTAGCTAGCTGAAAACACCACTGCTACTGACACCACACGGGTGACAGTTTAAAATGGGGGTTTTATTTCTACTGCATACTGTATATATGTGTATGGAGAAGGGAGAGGCAATATAAAAATGATCTATTTTATTTTTATATATTTTTTTTAAAGTTAAAGTTATTTTTTTTCTAGTTAAAATCATTTAGTTTTTTCATGCTTTCATTTTTCTTTTTAACAATTTTATTATTAAGTATCCAACATTGTGATAATTGAAAATCTGTCAAGAAAAAAATTACTTTAGACCGATGAAGTCATAAAAAAACAAAATGTGTCACACAAAAATTTTTTTTTCCACTTTGTCATTAATCTGCCTAACATTGTTCTGATATATAAAAATTTATATATCATATTCTCCTATATATGCAAATATATACTCCTATATTATGCAAATATATACTTTTAAAATGTTCATTTTTAAAGACATAAAAAAAGTTTGTACCCCCACAGATCATTTATAAAATGCAAATATTCATGGCAGTCCTTTTAAAAGTTCTTGATATCATATAGATTTATTTGGCATATTAAAAAAAATATATTGAACAATTACAGTACTTATTCACTTATTAGAAATGAAATTGAAATGAAGAAAAAGTTAAAATCCTCCAAACTAAACCCATTCTAATATTTCATCTCGGACAAACATTTTGAGAATTTAGACAACTATATTCAATATTTGATAAAAATGCTGATAAAATCAATTCAATTAATTCTTGTTAATTTCCTTGTTGGTTTCATACAAAGAATTTAATTTAAATTATTACAGCTTGGTCTTGCTAGAGATTTTTATGGTTTACATGACTCACAAATGTGCATGATACACATAAACCATGTTTTCATTGGAAATGGAATATCATCTTATTTGCCCCTCAAATAGCAAAGTTGAACTTCTGTGTCAGAAAATGTTGAAGAGGATGATAATGATATTTCCTATGATGAATTTCCACAGACCCAATGCTCAGTTTCAAACACCAAAGCAATGATTATGTTTGGCAAATATTAAAGTTGGTTGTGCTTCCAACAAGAAGCCACCCTTACAAATACATCTACTTCAATCCAATTTCAGAAGCAAGCAACAGAAAAAAAAAAGGCATGGCCAGCCAGAAAGAGAAATTGTTTTCATACAAAGAACATACATTGGAATTCTCATGGCTTTGGGAATTAGCAGCAGTAAAACATAAAACCAGCTGAAAATACAAAAATTGATGCATTTTTTTTTTATCTCTATCTATAAAAGGCAGAATGTGTAAAGAATGCATGGCCACAATTTTCAATGGATTTGCACCAAAATTTACATGCACATGCTCCAAGTTAGCGGGAAGGCCAAGACCAACTTTGCATTTCCCAACTCTCATTGATGGTGGAAATAATCGATTTTTTCATGTTTCTATGGCAGTTTTCATGTAGTTTGCAGCCATTTTGTACTGGCCAGAGTGAGAGCCAATAGCTGGCTGCCATGAATAGGCAGGTAGATTCTATTGGCCAGCGTGAGAGCCAACAGCTGACTGACACGAATGTTAACTAGCATGCTAGCATGCCAAAAAAATTGATAGCTGCCTTCTTCACAAGTGGGAAAAATTTAAATCTGCATGGCACTTTACTCCAATTGGCTCATTTGCTTGCTTAATCTCAATGTTGATTCTGATTCCGCAGAACTGGGTTGGGTGTGAAAAAGTATTTGTTGTTAACATTCTTTTTTTTCATTCAGTTTTTCCAGTTCTGAGTCCTTTTTAAAGCTGATCATTTTGTGTTCATTTTGTTTAGTTCTTTTTTTCATAACAGATTTAATGTTTAGTATAGAGCTTAGAAAAAATTTGCAGTGTGAGATAGGCAAGAAATAAGACATGTAGCAACATCAGCATGGCAAAGGGCACTCCTTTAAAGGCAAGGAAGGGCAAAAATATTTTAAGTCAAGTAATAGCAATTGCTGTATGATTTGTACAATTTTTGAATCAAGCATGGGCAACGTCTGGCCATGCTGCTAGTCAAAAATAAACAGGACAAGACCTTGAAAATGTTATTTGGTGATATAAATGATAAATTTATTTAAAAAAATAACTTTTCTCTTTGATTTTTAAATAATTTACATATTCAATTATCCAAAATTTTGAATTATCCAAACATTTTTTAACCCCTGTGCCAAGGAGTCTGGTTAATTAAGGAAGTACCGTATTAATTTTTGACTTATTTTTCTTATATATGATGCTAATTCTTTATTTCAGATCCATGCTCTTAACTTTTAGAATAATAATCCAGGAATTAATAATAAAAGACAATTAAATAAAAGAAAGTCTAGTTTAAAAATTTATAACAATGACAATGCTTTATCTGAGAAATTGATAGACTATTGAACAATATAAGCTCATTTGTCCAAACAACTGTTGAAATTATAACAAATTTTCTCAAAATTACAAAAGATAGTCTCGGATAATGAGAAAAGTAAATCCTTATTAGAATAGATAACAACATTTGAGCAAAATGGTGAAATATTGAAGAAATTATGATAAAGAAACTTAATTTCAGGTGTGGAAAATTTGAAGAGAAGAACCCGAAGGTATGCTCGCAAACAAATACGATGGCTTAAAAACAGAGTCCTAAAAAGTAAGTTCCACTTAAGATTTATATACTATTAACCAATTGGGGGCCAGGATATATTTGTTTGACACCATATTTTCAAAATATCTTGTCAGCTGCTCCTGAACAATCATTTTTGTCAATGCCTTCATTGCCATTTACAAATTGTCTTGAACCACTGATTTGCTGCCAGAGTAAGAAGACTCAAAACAAAGAATTTCTCTCAAGATATCTCATCAGCTACTTGCAGCTGGTTAGTTAACCATTTAATGGATTAACATCACAATTTCTATATTTTATTCTTTTCACAATCACTTCATCTATAAAATATCTTTTGACTTTAGACTGAACCAAAAATATTTGGGTATTTTAGATCAAGAATGAATCTATTTTGAACTTCTCATGCCTGGCTTCATCAATTATGCAAAGTCATTGACAATACCCAGGGTTGTTATGTGAAGTTTTTATATCTGTTATGAAGTGAAAAAAATTATTTTCGACTTGCTAGAAAGGATTGTAGCTCTATAAATAAATATACATCTCCTATGCTCTTATTTTTATTCAATTACATACTTGCATTAAGGATGAAATCGGACAATTTTTGGATGCTTGCCCTGTGTGTTTAGAGAGATTTTCAGCTGTATACAGTACACAAGGCGATGAAAAGATCTTGGCCTAATTCAATTTCCACTCAAATCGAGCTAGAATTTTTTAATCCCTCCTCACACTGAGAAATTTACCCCTAACACAATAATAATGATTTTTGTGATTACATTGAAAATGTAACAAGAAATTACTATAAACATGCACCTGTTATTTGGCAAGAAATATTTGAGAACTAATAATATTCAACTGATGGTTCATCGATAATTTCATAAATTGGTGGTTTATATTTTAACTTTATTTTGATTTGTAATCATAATTTAATCATTTGCAATTCTATACATTTCATTCTTGGATAATCAGGGGACTAGTGTATCAAACAGTTTTTTTTTTTAAATATTTTAACATTATTTTGATTTGTAGTCATATATACTTCACACTGGGATCATCAGTGAATTACTGTGTTAGACTGGGGTGTATATCTATTAGCCTAGTCCCAGTAATCCAACCAGGATAATTTTTAGAGGATTTTTTTTGTTTTGAAAAGTTTACTTGTGATAGTTGGGAATACAGTATAAACAGTAGGACAGGGAGTTAAAAACTAATTACTAATTAAATCTTTAATTAAACAAACTTACGGCAATATCACATTGAAACACCAGTTACTGTACAATCACTGAAGTTGAGGTGCATTTTATATGCCAGGAATTACAGTATATTGTAATCTCTACCATTACTAGATCTTTTGTTAAAATCTTGTCATTTACAAATTCTTTCATATTAAACTTTGCAAATGTTTAACTGTTTTTATGCATTCTGATTGTTTTTGTATTTTTATCAAATAAACGGACAGGGCATTTATCAGAAAGTTTAATGTTTTAATTTTATCACAGTATCTCTATAAAATACACTGACTGAAATATTGGGATAAAAACAATAAAATAAGGATGCTAATAAAAGAAAAAAAGTCATTCAATACTATAACTAACTAGTCTCAGAAAAATATTGTTATTAAAACTAGAATACTTGTAAGCTAAGTTAAAAACAAAAAAAAATTATTTGCCAGAAATTGCAATTGTCTCTAGTTCAAATACATTAACCTTTAACATACTGGAGATGATTTTTATCTTGCCACTACAAGTGACTCAGATGAATGAATAATAGCTTGTTTGAATTTAGCAGTGGTGTTTTCATATCCTTCTATGGTAACAGAAAATGACCATAACTGAAATTAAGTAGTGCAGTAGAGGAGCCTTGAAAAACAATGCAGTGAAAAGGAAAGTAGTGAATAATGCAGTGTTTTAAAGGTTAAGATTTTCTTTCAAAAAATGTTAAAAAGATTTTCCTTTTACTGCTGAGTTTGTATCCGAAAAATTCTCAATTCTTTTTTTATGTAAATATCTAGTATTCAATATGAAAATCTATTTAAAGACATTCAACAACTGTTGATTGTATTTTATTGCAGGAACTGCTGACAACACTCCTCATGTTTATACTGTTGACTCTACAGAACCATCCAAATGGCATGAAGCTGTTCATCAACCTGCTGTCAAGGTATTACAAGCCTTAATCAAGGTAATTTTTTTTAACCATTTTATTCTATTTCATACTTGCCATAACATTTCAAAGTAGGCTAATTTACATAACTAGAATTTTTTTTGCAACATGCTGATGCATGTTGAAATCTTCACAGTATTTAGTATTGTTGAAGTTATCATTAACATTTTTTGTTGTGATTTACAAATTCTACGTTTCGTTCAATTTCACAAACCAATCGATGAAATTTGAATAAGCTGATTTTTTTGCAAAAATACTTTAACAAAAATCCTACTTCATGGTTTAATAATTTCTTTAATTTAATTTTATAGGACTTCATGGTAAACAATATTTTTTAAGAAAATTCCTTTTTCCCAGCAAAGAATAAATTCTTATGATTTCTTAATCTTGAGCATGCAGCATACAATTGGCCATGTGTAAATATTTCTTTCTGGAGCAAAATTATGTTTTGACACATCTGGCCTTGTGATTTGTTTATAGTTCTAACAAATGCAGGGCACACTGGAAACTGGATTCTTGTATATATAAAAACTTAAAGAAAAGATATACAAAAAACAATATTTCATTTTTATTAAATAAGTATTAGTTATTTTAATAATTAAATTGTTTTTAAAATAGTGGGTGTATTTTAAATAATAAAACTTTTAATTTTTCAAAAAAATGAATGAAAATTTATTGCACTAAGCTACGCACCCTAATAAAACCAACTGTACTTTGTACCCCCTTACCTGTTTGCACTTCTCCCAAAAATTTGTTTTTGATTGGTTAATGTATGGCTATTTTAGATGATGCGACAGACAAACTAACAGAAGTCACAGAATTTTATATATAGATAGATAACTAAAAGCAAAAAAGAAAAGCCAAGATAAAAATTAGAATCAGCTCTATTTTTATATGGTCTATTTTTGTAATTAATTTATGTTCAAATCAAATCAAAAGCTTCTAAATAACTTTACCATTTACTACTAGAATCAACTATATCTGTAGACTGAAGCAATTATTGTTAAAGATCTTTTGCCAGAAATAACTTAATCTTTATTCTGTGAATTATTTAAATAAGTATCTTCATCTTTGTTATTTTCACCATTGCATTTTAGTCAGTTTTTGCCACTGGTCTTCCACAGTTCAATATCATCTCCACTCACCTTCAAAAAGCTTTGAAAAGAATCCCTTATGTCATTCACAGCATTTGGTGTCTCACAAACTTCCTTTGGCATTACTATAAATAAACAAATTCCCCTTTTCTCACTATGGTTAAAAATAGCAAAATATCTAAAGCGGGGCTTGTAATCCCATCCCCTAAAAATAAGAAAAAAAAAGCAAAAATATTTACTTGTCAAAACTTCAGCTCAGCTTGCAAAACTGTTGGACCAATAAAATTGAGGATCCACTGTTAATTTTCCAAATATTTATGCTGCATTCAGTTTAACAGATGATATCCTCTGATAAATCCTTCCTCAGTTTTGAGGGCAAAGTATGAAAATTAGCAAATTTTTTCAAGTCATTGTCATCACCAGCTGTTTGTCACTCACACATCACATAATCGCTATTAATATTAGGTATGTGCAAAAGATTCCTGCTTTTTTATTAAAATTAATAATTTCTACATATATTTACTAATCACCAAAATATATTCCTTGTCTTTCTATGATCATATTCCAACTTTTGGAGGTTTTTCAATTCTGTCTTCTTTAAACAACAATAAATTTATCAATGAAATTTTGAGCATCAAAGACATTGTTAAATTTTTGACCAGATAAGGAATGCTGTATTGATGGAAAAAAAAAAACAGATTGTTTGATGAAAATGAGAAATAATTTTCCTTTCTAATTCATTGTGTTTTTTTTTTTTTGCGGGGGGTAGGGTGTTGACAAAGCAATGTGTGAACAAGCATTGTCATGTAGCAATATGGCTTTTGGGTTTCTCTGTCCTGTAAATAGATTCTTTTTTTTTTTTTCTTTTAGTCATGGCTATGACAATAAAACTACATCTGACAGAAAAGCCTTCATTTGGGTGATTTGAGGTTTTCAGGAGCGTGGAACCAACTCTTAATTGCTGTTGTTCCCGTGTCCACCCTGACTCGGGGTGGTAGCACCTGTTAGGGTCCCAGCTATAGTACAGTGGTTGATATGCCATAAAACCCAACCAACCAACCAACCCAGCTATAGCCAAATATGGGTTGATATGCCGCTAAACAAAAACAACTAACATTTTTTTTTTCTTCCTTTTAATTACAGCACTGAAACCTTGAAGGTAGCAACTATAATGCTGTAAAGTAAGGGTCTCACCAAGCTTCAGCAATTTTTAATTGTCCAGCTTTTATATCCCAACAAAATACAAACAATAATTCTTTTTTGCTGTTGATGCTGCAGGATCCATCCATGATTTTCAAAACTTTGGATTATCATAGTGGACCCAATTTCCATCTTCAGTGACAATCTTACATGAAATAATTTCATTTTCATGTTTGCCAAAATACAAAATGCAAATAGTATGATGCTGCCCAATTCTTTTCAATTGATAATTCATATGGAATCTATTTTCATAGTTTTTGAATTATCCATTTTGCAAATGTCTTACAACTGTTGAGGGATCAGCACCAAGGATTTCTGCCAATTTCAATGTTAAATGAGTAGGGTCATCTTTTAAAAGAACTTTCATGCCATCACTTCCAAATTCTTGTAATCTACCATTGCAAGTTTGTTACATTCACTTATACACAAATACCCTTGGGAAAGATATAAATCCATCTCTTCTCCATCCAATTATGGGTTGAATATCAGTACAACCTGGGTCCTGTAGCCTTGGTTGGCAACTGGTCTACTGAAGTAAGAAACGACAGCTTGCTGCAGGAAAATTATCTACCTAGTCAGTCATGAATCATGGAAGACAGGTGTATCACATATAGTACTTAACTGACTGATTGACACTGCCTAGTTTGTCATCCAAGCCAAATATCATCTTTTTTAAGCTTCATGATGGATTCACCACATGTAATGTTTCCAATCAAACAACCTCTGCAGGCTTCATCAATCATGGTCTTCATTTTTGCCTTTGCTGCTGTCTTGCATTATATGTTGAATGTGTATGTTGTCCACAACTATTTTTCTTTTTTCTCTTAATACAGAATTAATAAACCTTGAAAACCATTTTTGAATCGTATATTCAGTCACTATTTTCAAAATAAACTTTTGCACACACCCATACACACACACACACACACAATAATTATTTTTACAGTTATTTGTTATCCATTGTTTATTTAATATCATTTCATTTATTGTTAAATAGAACAGGATTTCACATTTAAACAATAACAAAACAAAGATGAAGAAATTAGCCTGAACTAAGTATGTATTTTTTTTATCAATTCACCCCAAGCAAGGCAATAAAGCCACTAAGACACAAGGCAGTTACTGAATGAGAGAATATGAGAAAAATAAAAGGACAGGAATTAAGAAGACGGAACAATTGACATTGATCTTCACAAATTCCAATGCAATGTTGACTGAAAAGCTGGAAGAGAGTTCTACAAGAGAGACAAGAAAGTGTTAGCATAGACTTTATTGTTACATCTAGCCATTTCAACTGTAAAATAATGAGACCTTATCACCAATTGAGTGCTGCACTTAATTTCACAAAGTCTAGGTACAAAACAGGAAAGCTCATCAGAACAATTACCATGAAAATATTTAGAGAAAAGGCACAGGGAAGCTGTGTTACATCAGTGAGAAAATGACTGAAGCTGGGACAAATAATTTTGTAGATTTTTCTTTGTACTTTATCTAGAATCTCTAAATTATATAACAGAAGCACCAGACCGGATGTACAGTGTGCGATGGGTAAATTGTCGCCATTTTATATTTTTAATTTTGTGCATATGCATTGTTTGTATTTGATTTTGTTGACTGCACAGTATAGTAGGGTGAGTTTGGGCACCATGACCTAATTCACTCTGCCAGTAATTTGTACTGCTTGGCATTTGTGCCGGAAGCTCTAATACAAACTTTTCGGAGTGTTTGGGTGTCAATCTGAGGACAGTGCAGAGGATACAGAAAGAGTTAGATGAGTCTAATGGTGATTACGAAGGTACAACAGCTCAGAAAACTCACTGATCATTCTGATAAGAAAAGAACTCCAGAATTTGTTGATGAGGGCCTCACTCTGTCCTATGTCTGGTAATGGGACTCTGCACCATGCTACACAAACAGGAAAACCCAATCATGGCTGTCAGACATTTTTTGCAACTACATCATCCCTTATATCTGTCCACCTAACTCTCCAGACTGCAACCCATTTGATTATTATGTGTTGGGCACAATTGAGTGAGAGACCAACAAAACTCCTTGTAACACCATAGGTGAACTGAAGGCAAGAATTATGGCAGCATTCATCAACTTAAACAAGGATACTGTTCAGAAGAGTTGCAGGAGATTCTGAAGTCATCTGGAAGCAATGGTTGAAGCTAATGGTGATTTTATTGAATAAATTTACTGTTTAGTATTTAAAGATATTTTTGTGTAATTTTGATAAATATATCTTAAAATAAGATGTCACTTATTTTTATTTTTTCATAATTTAGACAATTTATCTATTGCACCTTGTTCAGTGGTGTTCAGAGTTAATGCTATAAAATTTCCTTCAATTTTGTTTTTCCTGCTAAATTTATAGTACATTCAATATACAATAAAAATATAAATACAATTTGAGGGAAATCTTTGTAAATTTGGTTACTTATAAACACATTATTTCATAATGTCATATAGAATCAATTCCATAATTGATATTGGTTCATTTTTTTTCAGTATATCTGTACAAAGGGGTGCTGATAATTTCTTGACCCAACAAAAAACAACCCTTCCAGAATATTCTATTAGTCAAATTTCGAAAAGTGGTTCAAGCCAAGAGCTTTTCACTTCCCCTTTGTAGATGTTGATATTTTTACTGTTTTTATAAACTTGTTGCAACAATGTAATAAAAACCATGACTCAAACAATACTGTTATTTTTTATAATTCAGGGAGAAGTTCCAGATCAGAAACCCCTAGAACTGGTTGAAGAATCTAAAAATAAACATCAATATAATGTTTGTGATACTTGTGATGGTTTGATACTGATAACAGAAAAAGATTGGATAAGTAAGAATATTTTTTATCTTTAAAATTTCTTCAAAGCTATTAATCTTGAAACTTTTTTCTTTACTATGTAATCTTCACTAATCTATGCATATATAAAGAGCAGTTGTGTGTGTATGTCCATCTAAAACTAAAAGACTACAATAATTTACAGCAAAATAAATTTTATATATATATATACATATATATAAACTCTGTATCACCCAACCTACATTTCTGTAAAAAAAAATCATCATATAATTTGTATGTATGAAGATATTTTAAAATTGAAAATACATAATAATTGCATTAAAATGCATTCAAAATTCTCAGAATTAAAAAGTAAAAACCAACGGAATAAGAATTATTCCCATTTGTTTTTACTTTTTATTTCTGCTGATAATTTCAATCTCTTTAACCAAAACCTCATCTCTAAAGAATCTAACTATAAACTATCTTACAAATTATAAGTATACTAAATAAATGCTTTGGCACTAAAATGACCTACAGTGGTTGATGTGGTGTTAAACAAGAAAACAAAAGCTGGTTATAGTTAAAAATTTATCCACACCAGTAGTTTACTCATTTTTGGGTTTTTATCATCTTTTGAACAGGACACTGTTCGTTTATATTCAAATAGCATAGTTCAAGTTCTTTTTGAAATCTTTTTGAAAGTAGACATTCTTTAAATTCACTGAATAGTTTTTTCTTTAACTTTGAAAGGAAGTTTATTTCAGTGTAATTTGGCAATTGCCAGACCCAAATTATACCAAAAGAAATCAAAGTCAATCCATAAAACATTAACCTGAAAATAGCCAAAATGAAGACACTAGTCCAAATAAATTCTTGGATCATCCTGAAGTCTTTATGATTATAACCATACATTAAATTGATTATCTTTTTACTTTATTTTTTTAATAGTGCACACAAAAAGTCGTAAACACAAAAGAAACTGCTCAAGAAAGAAAGCACTAGAAGCCATTAAAAAAGGTAAAAATATAATAATAATAATTTTCTCTTTTTTCTTTTTCTTTTTCTAAGGAACTTAAAAGAAGACCTACATGTACTGAGATCTACCTTACTTAGTTTTTCATTGAAATAGTTAAACAGGGTATAGTGAAGAAAACGGCGACTTACCTCGTCAAACCAAGTGACAATGCGTCATGTGTATTCTATGACGGAAAATGTGGTGAAAAAGAAAATTACTTACCAAAGAAAAGGGCACATATTCCGCATGACATGCTGAAAATGGAATATTTGAATTAAAAAATAAGTCCGTCGCAGGAGTCACTATAAAAGTATGTTGACATGCAAATTACTGAACATCCTCTCCCAGCTGTCAACGAATGGAAAAAAATGTTCGGCCGATAAAAGCAGTTGGTGTTCTCGAATCAGGGAGGAAATTCGGGTATTTTGGCTACCGCGTTTGTTGGAGAATTAGTTATTTTTCTGACTGGTTGCATGCATTGTGATTCATGAGATAGTACCTGCGAATCGAGTTTTCAGCATTTCTTTCTGCCCCCGATGTTCGAGTCTGAACTTAGTGATTTATTCTCTGTGACGTGGAAATAGTCTGCAACAAACATTTCCTTTGTAATCCCAGATCGCTTACACAGAGTCAGACTTTAGAAAAAGAAATGTTTTTTCTATTATTAAGTCTGTTGCCCTGAGAAATGTCTTTAAATTTGATCTCTTAGTTTGGTATACAAAATGTATAAATATAATTTTATTTCCATGTATAATTTGTTTTTTTTTTACTATGCATAGGAAATGTGTTTTCAGTTTGTGAGGCTACAGTTTTATTATTGAGATTATCTCAGGTAAATTCTGACTTTGGATATCTTTGGCCACAAAGTTGCGTTTCTACCATTAAAATATGTGCAGAGTGGCTATTCTTAAATAAACATCACAAGTAGTTCTAGCCAAGCAAAAAAAATATATCTGTTCAATGATTGGCTGTTTGTGAGAGGAGTTTAATTTAATCTTGTTTTAATTCAATAGTCAGAATTTAATAATGATTGACAAGGGTTTGTCTCAGAAATTCAAACCCTGTTATAAACAAATGTTTCTCTAGTTTTTCAATTAAAATATCTATTTTTGAAGTTACATTTGATTTTCTAATTTTTTGTTTTTCAGAAAACTTCTTGAATGAAAATGTGAATAGTAAAGATAACTCTAGCGAAATTGTGAAAGAATAAAATTTTACTTATTTTTATCAATAAAAGAAAAACGCAAAATAAATGGTCATTGGTTTAAGTTGTTTTTGGAATGCACATATCTTTGCTTTTTAATAACATTGCTTAATGTTATTCAACAAATCCAGTACATGGGATGCAGAAAAGTTCTTGGCCTGACCAAGAAACCCCTAAAAAAATATTCTCATGTTTGGTCATATGGTTAGATTTTGCAAAGGAACTCAGCTTGAAAATTTTTCAGCACCCTCTTGTTATATTTTGTTGTTTGATGTAGATGTGTTCCTTGCAGATGATGAAATCCAAGGATAATAATTGAACTATATACAGGGTGAGGCAGAAATAGCTCTCTCAAAAAGGGCCTGATAAAACTCCAAAAGTATCAATTTTTGAAGAGAATGATATAGATGAAGAAAGGCCAAATGAAAATATTGAACAACATAAGACTGTGACAAGGAACATATCAACCAAGCAAAACTCCATTCTTAAGAAAATTGAGCTCCTGAAACCAGGACAAACTATTAAATGCAAGCATGCCAATGATGGTGATGATTCAGAATGGAGAAAATTGAATGTCTTAAGTCAGGCAGGGGAAACAACAGGCAGAAAAAAAAAACACTTAATGTAGTTGTGGAACAAAGCAAACCCTTTTGGCTGGACTTCGAGCATGGAGTATCAGAATGGCAAGCAAATTAGGAAGCAAGGAAACAAAAACACTTCTTGTGATGAAGAAAAAATGATCTAAAAAAGGCAAGAAAAAAAGAGCTCCAAAGTTGAATTGAAATTCCTGACCAAGGTCGACCCAAGATATCCACAAGATGTGTTTCTACTTATATAAGTCTGAATGATAAACAGAGTTATAAAGCTACACACTTGTAGCTCGAGGCTTCCAGGACAAAGATGCTTGCAATATAAGAAATGATTCTCCCACTTTCTCTAAAGAAGGTCTGCACATAGCATTGGGTATAATGGCATCTAACCATTGGATGTGTAAATCTATGGACATAAAAACCGCATTTCTAAAGAGTAAACAGACTGATTGGTTTATTTGGATCCTCTTAAAGAGGCCAATGTTATATTTGGAAGATCTATAAATGTGTATATAGTCTGACTGATGCTTCAAGATCCTGGTATGTGACACTCAAGGATAAATTAATTAAATTAGGAGCTGGAGTTTCAAAATATGACCAGGCAGTATTTAGATGGCATTTTGGAAATAAGCTGCTAGGTATAATTGCTGTCCATGTTAATGTTGCTGTTAATTTCTACTTTGTAAGAACAGAAATCTTTCAAACCAGAGTTATAAACAAAATTTGTCATCTATTTGAAGTCAAATGTGAAGAAATTATCAAATTCCAATATATAGGATTAAACAAAGAAAAATGGAGATAATATCAAACTAGAACAGAATGAATATGTAAAAAAAGTTAAAATATATACCAACAGAAGTAGGCAGAAATTTGAAAGACACTATATCCACAACAGAAGTAACAGAGACATGGCAACTGAATGGTGAACTTAATTGGCTAGCCCTCCAGACCAGGCCTGACCTAAGTTATGATGTTAGTGCATTAAATTCTGTATTAAAACAATGTAGAATGTACAAAACGAGCAATCAGAGTTGTCAAGAAAGCAAAGATCCTAGATAGACATTTCAGATTTAGGAAACTTAAAATACTTAAAAATTATTGACTATAGTGATGCCTCTTTTGCTAATTTGACTGATGGGGGATCACATGGAGGGTATATACTCCTTTTTTGTAGAATGTACCAATAGATATATCCCCACTGCTTGGCAATCAAAACATATTGGAAGAGCCATCAAAAGTTCTCTAGCAGTTGAAATATTAACCATAGTTGACACAGCAGAAGCATGTCTTTATTTTTTTTTTTTTTATAGGAAATTTTTATTAGAACTGTTGCAACTTGAAGAAGATAATGAAAATGTGCAAATTATATGTAGAACTGACAATTCCTGTCTCTATGATGCGGTACATTCATCAACACAAATTTTGGATACAAAACTTTGCATAGAAATGGCTATTTTGAGAGAAGTGATCGATAGAAAAGAAATTGCCAAAATCTCTTGGATACCAACTGATGTACAAACTGCAGACTCGCTGACAAAGAAAGGAGTACCATAATTTCTTGGGTTCATATTGGATCCTAAGGAATCCTCTGTTTAATGAATTTACGTTCTCTTATATATTTTTTGCAGATTAATGAATATATCTACACACCTGAGGTTGAAAAAGAAAAAAGGGGAAGAACTGTCAATCTTCACAAGTTACTCCCATTGGCAACTCTAACTAGAAAAGGGGCAGCTTACCTGGAAGAGGCTGAGTGGCCATTTTAGATAGGGCACACACATGAAGAACGAAGGAGTCTGAATAAAGCATTCTCTTTCCATTACATGTCCAAGTTTCTTTAATTTGAAATTGCAATTATCATGAAGAAAGGAATGCATATGTAATTTTATAGCTGTAAGTTTATTAAGCTTATTGGTAACAAATTTGAAAAAAAAATCACTTTTTGAAAGTGTGCCAGAATCAACAATTTACTACATTAATTTTTTTTTTTTTTTAACTTGAACTAGATGCACTAAAATAGTTATTTAAATGATTAATTAAAAACGGGAGTTAGTAAAAGATATAAGAATCATCTAGTGACTGCCTTCTTTTTTGATTGGCTCTTAGGGAGTGCCTCAAAGTATGGGTGTTGGATTCAGAAAGTTGTTTGGGATCCTGGCATGGAGCTACAAGCTCCTTAAGTGTACCAGGACTTTTATTATTATCTTCAGGAGAGGTGTTAGGTTGGGTAGAGTGTGTTAACAACAATTGAAGTGGGTACAGAAGATTGAATGGGTCTGAGTCATTTCATCAGCTCTCTTAATCTTCACAGATCAAACTTTTGTCATCACCAGTGACAAGCTCCCGAACTCTACCCAGAAGTAAAAATGGTCTGGTTTTGGTAGGGTTTTTAACTAGAACCACATCATGATGCTGATCTCATGTAAGTTTTTGTGAAGCTCCTTCAGATACAGTAAATATTCCAACATGTTTTCCATGAGGTTTATGCCAGGGTAGATTGCTTTATTTAATGAAGGGGCCTCTTTAATTGTAATCAAACAGTTAAGGACAATGAAAGAAATGAAGAAAAGGCAATCATATGTTAGAAAGATATTCCTCCTGGCAGGTTTGATTTAAACACAGGTTTATGAGATATCCAAATGTAGTCTTCAAACCTATAAGGAGGAATATCTCTCTGACCTAGGATCTCCTTTTCATCTTGCTTGCTAAATACTTCAACATACAGATTCTACTGTTTTAAGCTTTTACAACTCCATTCTGCACATTAAGGGCTACAGCATGGTTTGAAGGGACAGAGTTAGTTTTTTTTCCTCCTCCCCAGGCAACTTTACATAATAAATATTTTCTATAAACTCTTGAAACCGTTCAAGTTTTTTCTTTGCCATAATCACTACCAGGGTTTTCTTCATTTAAATCATTTCATGTTTTATCACTATCAATTAAATATCCATCAGTGGATATGACATAATCCCTCAAAATGTTAGTCACAAAGAGTTTGAAATTTCTGAATTTTCATTTTCATTGAAGCTACTAGATATTATCAGTTTCATAAAAGTAGCTATTGTTAGATATAACACTATCAAGGTAGTATCCTGAAGAGAGTGTGAAATTTTATAATTTTCAGTTTCAAGGAAATTACTTGATATTTTATCAGTTTCCAGCAAATATCTATTATTATCAGATGTAGTAATACATCTCAATGTATTTTCAGAAAGAGTGTCCGAAATTTCAGTATCTTCATTTGCAACAATATCAATTTATATTTTATCACTTTCAAGTAAATATCTATTATTGTTATGTATCATCAAGAAGAATCTGAAATTTCAGAATTTTCAATTTCAACAATGTCAATTTATATTTTATCAGTTTCAAGAAAATATCCGCTATCATCAGATGTACTATCTCTCAATGTATTATCACAGAGAAAATTTGAAATTTCAGAATTTTCATTGGCAACAAGATCACTTGATATTTTATCAGTTTCAAGAAAATATCCATTATTGTCAGATATAGTAATATCACAAGCAGGGTGAAGCTTCGAAGTATAATCGAATTTTCAATAATGACCCCGGCTGTTGTGTCATAAAAAATTTATATTTACATTGGATATTCTATACCCAAGTTGGCTCAGTTATAAACATGGATTCAGACAAAATTTGGTTAACAGAAAGAAAGCAGCAAAATAAAGGTAGCAATGATTTATCCAAATAAATGATGAAGTTTAAGACGACCGTAACAATAACAAAACAATTTAATTTGTAACTTGAGGGAAATAGATTTAAGAGTGGAGATAGTTTTGAGGTGTGATGGAATAAAATGCTTTTAAATTCAATGTTTTAGTGTATTAATGTTTACATAAAGAAGAAAGTTATTATTTTTTATTTTCAGCAGAGTGTTTTTAAGACTCTTTTTCTTTGTTGCCATGGATATGAGCATTTTTAAGACTCTTTTTCTTGGTTGCCATGGATATTCTCATCACAATAATATATGTATTATCACTAAGAAAGTCTGAAATTTCAGAATTTTCATTTGCAATGTCACTTGATATTTTATCAGTTTCAAGCAAATAGCTATTATCTCTCAATGTACTATCACAAAGAAAATTTGAAATTTCAGAATTTTCAACAAAGTCCCCAGACTGACACTTGTGCTATTCAGGCTCATTGTTCCAGCAATTAGAATTTTGCTCTAACAATACACAATATCAAAAAAGGCATTTAATGTATCAAAGTGATAGTGTGCCTTTCAATATCTTTCATGTCAAAATCTAAATCGATATAAATATTAGTTATTTAATCCATGAAAGATTCTACAGTATTTAGTATGTTCCTGTGAAGAGAAAAAGTTTCTTGATAACATTTGTTTTGGCCCTATTTCTCATTAAATTTGAGGTAGCACCAATTTCATAGGAAAATA